ACTATATATAGGTATATTATATGGTTTTAGTATAGCTATATAGACCGAATCGATTATGAATTTACTACTACTACTATATATTTTATATTATTTGTAGAAAATTATTATTTTCTTTATAAATAATTAATAATGTATTATATATTATAAGAAAATATAATTAATATAAATATATTATAATTTTTATTATATTTTAAAACTATTTTTATATTATAATATACATATAATCGTATTGAATTAAATTAATATAATATTAAGCTTGAAATTGATTATATATAGCTCTATAATATATTCTTTTTAATTTTATAACTTTTAATTTTAAAATTAATTTTTAAATATTTATTAAATTTATTATATTATTAAAAACTTTTTTAAATAAAGAATTAAAAAAAATATTAATATATATTTATAAATAAAACTTTTTAATATAATATAATAAATATAGGCCCTTATATTTATTATATAAAATTCTATGATAAATATATTAAATTACTTAAACTATAAATTATAAAGTATAATTAATTTATTCAACTTTTAAAAGAGAAAAGATTTATTTTTTGTATGTGATAATAGGAGGTTAATTGTATTATTAATAAAATAATATTTTAATATTATATAAATAGAAAATTAAAAGGTTTAATAAGAAATAAAGATTTTAATCTTAATAAAAAGAATGTAATGCTATAAAAAATAATGTAATATAATAAAATATATATATATATATATATATATATACTTTATTCTAAATTTACTTATAAGATTATATTAAATTGAAAGATTTCCTTTGAAATAAAAGAGGAAAGAAAAAAAGAAGGAAAGAAATAATGAAAAGGAATTTGCTTTATATAAATATAAAACTTCAATTAGATTTCTAGAAGTATTAAAGATATAATTATTACTATATTAATTATTAATTAAAGAATCAAAATTGAATATTAATCTTATCATTATAATCTTAAGAATGAAGAATAAAAAAGAAATAATTTCATAATAAAAAAGTTAATATTCTAAATAAAAAGAAATTCAATATAAATCCTCTTATAAATCTTTATATTATATTTTATAATATTGATTTTTTCTAATTAAAAACAAAATATTTAGTTTTATAAATAATATATATAATCAACGGTAAAAACCCCGAATGTTATCATTTTATGTATTGATATTTCAAATGTCAGATTTATAATTAAAGTGATTTTAATTAGTATTTTATAATACTTATTAATTTTTTAGGAATTAATGAAATAAAAAGAAAAGTGATAAAATTATCAATTAGAATTCAAGAAATTTAATAAATTAAATTATTTTGGAATATCTTTAAAATTGAAATTAAAATTTAATTTAATAGTTTTCCAATTGATTTTGTTACAGTAATCAAGCTTTAATATTAACCTTTCTATTATTGAAATACTATTAAATTGAATTTTAATTTCAATTTTGAAGATAATTTAAAATAATTTATTTTATTGAATTTCTTGAATTCTAATTAACAATTTTATATCTTTTCTTTTTATTTTATTAATTCCTAAAAGGTTATATATTAGATTCGAAATTTGTTAGCTTATAAATTTAATAATGATGTAATGAAATAATAATATTTTGTTTTGTTATATACTAGTTGAGGTATTAATATATGAAATGATGATATTCGGGGTTTTTATTGTATAATTAATAAGTTTTAAAATTTATTTTTTAATTCAAGAATATTTATCTAGAAAAAAAGAAAATAAAAGGTTTTAAAAAATCTTAAAGTTTTTAACATTCTTGAATATTAAAATTGAAAAAGAAATAAATAAAAGAATATATATATTTAATATATTTAATATTAATTATAAAGTTTTAACTTCTATAATATTATATATAATAAAAATATTTATAATAAATTTATCTTTAATTACAATCTTAATTAAAAAATACAAATACTAATAATTATATAATTGATTTATAAAAAGATATAATATTATTATATACTTTTTATATGGAAATAACTTTATATTAATATAAAAACAAAAGTTTTTCTTTTTTAAAATTTAAAATCTTAAGGATTTTTTTTTAAGAAATTTATTTATTATTTTTAATTTAATAGAATTTCTAAGAATTAAATATATTATATTATAATATTTTAGATATTAATTATATTTATTATATTATATTCTAATTTAATTTTTTAAATTTTTTATCATATATCTCTTTTTATATTTTATTATTATATTTTAATAATTCATTAATAAATAAATAATTTATTTTTCATAATCTTTAATAATATTATTACCTAAAATTCATATAATATAATATATTATAATAACTATCTTTAAAACTCATAAGTATAGTATCTTTTTTAAATAATATAAAACTTTAAAATAATTCAAATTAATTAGAAATTATTAATAAATATTTTTAAAATAATAAATAAAATAAAATATCTTTTTTTCAATGTATTTCTTTTCTAAATATAATATTTAAATAAAATCTTTAAAAATGAATTTCAAGAATAATATAATATTTCTTTATATATTAAGTTCTCTATATTTATAATATTATAATTCGATTTTCTATAATTTAAGATTGTTACATTAATAGAAATATATATTTATTTATATTACTAAAAAAATAAAGTTATAAATAAAATAAAATAAAAATAAACTTTTTTTAATTAATTATTATTAAGTAGAATTACTTAAAGATTTTGTTTGATTAAAAATCTTAGATTCTTAGGTCTACATTATTTATATTATAGAAAGTATATATAAGAATATTCAAAATTAATTCTGAATTTCCTAGTAGTATAATTTCTAAGATTACTTAAAAATATATACTTATATATATATATAAATAAAAAAAGCTTATAATAATTAAAATAATAAGGAAGTATAATTCTAAAATACTATTTTCTAATTAATTTTATAAATAAATAAACAAATCAAAAGAAAAAGCAAAATCAGAACCAATTTATTACCTTCAACTTAGCTTATTTATTTATTACATATCTTTTTTATTTATATAATACAAATATACTCTTAATATTATTATAATTAGAATTATATACTATTTGAATTCATATTATCGTTATATTCTAATCTAAATATTTTCAATTAAAAATCCAAAGCTTATACTCAAATTATATTATAATTAGAGTTTTGATATATATTATTCTTCTCAATACTCTTTACAATTTCTAATCTTTCTAAATTATTCATATATATAATATTATAATAAATATTATCTTTATATCTTTAATAAAATAACCATTAAAGAAAAAGGTATAATTATAATATGAAATATATAAATAATTATATTTTAAAAATATAATATTAAATATATAATATATATATCTATATATTAAAAAATATTTGAATTATTTGAATTCATTTTAAATACTAAAATTCACTTGAATATAAAATATATAAAATAAAGCTTCAGCTTATCATATATCATTCTTTTTTATAACAAAATCCCTATAAAAATACTGTTTTCTTATATAAATTAATTATTTATATAATTCTTTAATCTTTTAAAGAATTGATTTGAAAATTGTATATATAAGAAATAACTATATAAAGAATATTCAGTTTAAATAGATCTTTAAAATTAAAAAAATTGATAAAATTATAGATTTTTAAAATTGAAATTTTTCAAAATTTATAATATATAACACTTTTTTCATATAAAAAAAGCACTTTTTTTAAGTTTTTTAAGATTTTCAACTTTAAGGACCTATAACTTTATTAGAAAAATAACTAAAAATGTTTCATTTGTTTTTTTTTTAATTATTTCAATGATTTTCAATCTAATTTTTTTTATAAACTTAATTTATAAATTAATTGAACTAATATATAATTTAAAAGTCGAAGAAATGAGGGTTTTTGATGTGTTTTCGCTTAGTGTACGATAAGCTGGGGCCTAAACTCTTATAATAACCATATGTAGCTTTTTTAAAAGCTGTTCAAATAGATTTTTGTTTCTCATAAAAGTAGTATGATTGTGAACGCCTAAGCTATGTCATTTTCCCCCTTCAACTTTATGATTTTTTTCTGTGCCTCTTCAAGATCTGCTCTGAGTTTTCTTCTCGCCATCATTTGCGAATAAGGCGAGCATGCTATGGACCCGATCAAGGAAGAACCAATTATCTAGGAGGTTGTATAGTGCTTGGCCGATGGTTATGGGCATGGTGATGATTTTGTAGTGGTGATGTGGTGGTAATATGATGGTGATATAGGAATGATGTGGTGGTGATGTAGTGGTAATATAATAATGATATGATGATAATATAATGATAATGTAGTGGTGATGTAGTGGTAATGTGATGGTGATGTGATGGTCATGATTTTGTATTGATGTCTTAAGCAACGGACTCGAAATCAGGAAGAGGCAGTAAGATCGTAGATGGATGAATAATAGGAAGTTGTTATGGCGAAGATAATTAGATTTGAAATCATAAAGATTGAAGGCTTTTAAGTAGTTGGAAACTCGGTCCATCTTCCCTATTATCTTCTCTTTCCCCTCTCCCATTATGAGAAATATAACTATTCAGGAATTGTCGTTTTAGAGCCTCACTACTTGATACTAGAAAAGAAACAGAATCCTTGAATTTCTTAAGAGGAAACCTTACTGAATTCGATTTAACCATCTACTGTCCTTGTTTGTTTGCCTGTTCATTAATATTAGTAATCACACAATAGTACCAGCCTTCCTCGATTACATCATATCTAAAGTTATCAGAGACTTTCACATCAAGTCTACTACCTATTAAATGTGTTATATATCAGATATTGTATACTATAAATGTCACAGAGTGAATGCATCAAAGAATTTTAGGGATCAAATAGTTTCAATTGATGTAAACTATGAAGAGAGAAGAGCTAAGCTACGAAAGGGATCAGTATTGATCCTCCCTCAACTTTAATTCCAGATAAGTGCTACGTGCGCGTGCACCTCTGATAAAAAAACATTCTTTTTACTGTCGATGAATGTTCTAAGCCCTGAAATACAGGTTCAGAAAGGCTTCACAAAGCTTCAAAGTCCTCACCCGTCCCACTACCATCGAATTCACTCTTTCCCAAGCCCTTTCCCGAAGCTTTCTCAAGAAGAGCATTCTGAAGTTCCCGATTTCTGAGCTTCATCTCCGCAAGCTCATCTTTATATCGATCTCTATTAATCGTTAGCTAGCACGTAAATCCCTAGGAAGTTGTCATCGATCTTCATCAAGAATCCAATATCTTACCTTGCCGCACAAACTTCCTCGAAATTGTACTTCGCTAATGTGAGAGCTTGTTCCGATTCCTCTTTTTTGAGATTCAGAGCATGCTGTAATTCCTTTTCTTTCATCTCGAAAAAGCCATCTAAGATTACTTTTGAGTGCGCGAGTAGAAGATTGAGGGCATCGTGAGCTAAAATTGCTGTCAAGATGTAAAGAATAGTGATCATTTTGAAGATGTAAGTTGTAAGAGGTGACGTATTTGTAAAGTTTAGAATTTGTCTGAGAGGAAATTATTCCTGTTGCGATCTCTTATTGTTGAAGATTGAGATTGGTGGAGAGAGATAGTGAGAAGATGTTGAATGGTTTCCGTGAAACCTTTTGGTGATGAGCGAGAAGTTCTTTTGTGTTCTACTCGTACTGTTGCTAACATCCTGACTACTCGCTTATTCTTGGAGAACACTAAATTGTTACTTCGCGATTTCCAACGACCGTACTGCTTAATAAGCCGTAGAAACTGTACGCGGGGTGAGGAAGTTGGTAGTAGTGTATAGATGATCAAGAATTGTTATTATTATTGGTCATTTGATCAAGAAAGCGAGATTACGGTCATTGGAAAGAAAGAGGAGAGGGGTCATCAAGCAGGAGTGTGATTACTTAGTTGCACTAAATAGATGTGAAAGACTCTTGATTGCTACCGAATCATAGTAATATGTACGTGCTGATGAGGGAAATTTAATACTTGCTAGGATCACGACGTAACACAAGAGCTAGAGATGTGCAAACATAACCCTTTAAGGGGCTCTAACTAGTGTGTGTTCTTGTAAGATTAGTCTAGTATCGGGAGAAAAGGACTAATTTCAACCCATCTAGTAATATGAACTAATAATAAGCATTTAATACTTACCAGGATGAATCTTATCAAACAAACTAGAGATATGCAACATAAACCTTCGGGAAGCTCTGATTGGTATTTTCTATAGAAGACTAGTTTAGTATCGCGCGACGGATGAAATAAGTTGTACACTAAGGGGAAACTTTATACTCATGGCATCGAGAACCCCAAAGTACTGGGCACTAGAGTTGGTTTAGATTGAATTGATTGTGATATAAATCATGGTGTCTAGATATGCTGGATTTGACTTGAGTTATTTCTTTCGTAGCAGGGGTGGACGCAATCCATTGGATGAGTGTCTTTAATAGACCGTCGAACCTTATGATTGGAGTAGATGTGGCCATTCGACGTCATCTCTAAGAGGAATGCCCGAGATCTATGAAGAGAATAACGCAGCGATCAGTAGTCTCTCATTATTGCATCTTTTCACGTTCAGTAATACATAATTTGTCTTCTAGATGATAAGTTTGCAATATCGTATAAGTCTTGTCTACTTAATTGGCAACGTTGATATGGCAATAGCTAAAAACACTGATAAATTTGAAAAGTATCCTCCATATCTGCGGGAGATTTTGGTTCCTACCAACTCAGATCATAGAGATTCTCTATATCGTTCTTCCTGCCAAAACTGAATCCTAAAAGATCTCCAGTATATGTGTTACAATGGCTCTCCGTCTCAAAGTCGTCAGGTCGTTGAATCTCGATACGGAAGCTATCCAGCAAATGCACAATGGTCGTAGAACAATTCGGAGAAAGAACATTCAATGATGAGGTTTCCTCATTGGCGAAGCACATGAATATTTTCATTCGAATCCCTGCCATTTAAGTTAATATTCGTCTTCATTTTATTATCGAGGAAAGCGATCATCTCACTCACTCAGCCACCGAAGAAATCTGCTTGAGATATCTCGACTTCGAAACCGGATCCATCGACTTATTACTATTCAAGTGCTCATAATCCTCCTCTCCCGCCTCAAAGGCCTCTTCCCAAGCCGGCAATTGTGCAGGCGGACCTAGCGCTTTAGGATTCTCCCGGTAGAACTTCTTCAACAAATATGGCGAGGTCTTGAAATCGGAGATGGGATACCATTCTGGATCTTCTTCGCGATAGCCAACCCAAGATGCTCGAACGTATAGACTCTTCCATTTCTTTTTCACTTCGAGAATTTCTTTGACTTCCCATTCTTTGTGTTGCTCGTCTTTGGTTGTTGCGCGTGCTTTGGTGGATTGAGGGCGGGTTTCTGCGGTGGAAGTAGCAGCGGCTTGGGATCGTGCCATTGCGATGATGGTGATTATGAGACGGGGAATGGTTCGCTGCGAGTAAAATCGTGGAGATAGCTGGAGATGGGTGGCGTTGTGTGGGGGTAGGTAGGTAGGTAGGTAATTACAGGTGGCTGAGAAGAGGATGGTGATATCTGGAATATATTGCAGATGAAAGGGAAGGAAATTTCTTTTGTCGATGTGGTAGATATTATTATGAGGAAGGCTACATGGTATCCTTACTAATGCCCTCTCGCTACTCAAGTAAAGGTGAACTATTATCTGAACTTCATGATGTAGACGTGCGCCTTGTGTAGGCACTGCAGGGCAGTAAATATCATTCTCTCTTTACTCTTACAAGTGGATATGTGCGAAAGTCTTCTTAAGGGGGCAGATCAGACGACAGTACAAATCAGGGTGATCACATGGGCATGGGTCAAGATGTTAAATCTTTGTACAAGATACAGTTCGGAATGGAAAAATCAAGGTAAAAAGAGACAGGGCTGGTCTATAAATCGTAGGATACATTAGATGACCGGTGTGGATGCGACTGAAGCTATTTGTACGCCTCTTCAGAGAATTCGGAGACAACGTAGACTATGTAACCTACTCTTTGGAATTGATGTGGACGTATACAACAGCTAAAGGTAGGGTCTGATGAATGATTGGTATGATTGATATCATAGTAAGATTATGTGTCATCGGAACCATGCCATTCATTCAAGGAGGTGATGTGATATCATGTAGCTGGGTATCAATACATCTAGTGTCTTGGAAATGTGGAAGTTTTAAGAGTGAGCATGTAACGAAATCTCCTGGAATCAGATGATAGCTTCGAAGATCCCATGCATACTCTCATTTCAGTATAAGACGATTGCATGGAATCTGAGCACGTGTTAGACAGAGCAATTTATTTGTCACAACCAGGGAAATCAAATATACATGTAAGAGAGTTCTTAGATGGTCTTGCATAGAATTTGATATTCTGCATTCGTCGTATCTGGAACTATATTACATTGTATGAATCCCCCATTAACCCTTGACAGCCTCAACAAGTTGAATCTCACGAACTGAAGGCGAGTTGGTGATAAATTCAGGTGTCAAATATTCCTCAGCTTCCTGAGTCCAAAGGTATAGCTGATCACCCTCATTGTCCTCGTTATCGTTAAGTTCAAAGACCGACCTTTTGCTGTCGAAAACAAAGGTACATGATGGCAAGTCTTCACACTCCCACCGCGACTGCACATGAAAATCATTATCAACAGAACGTAATCCCGGTGGCCTATTGATAATGACATAAATTGCTTCAAAGTTATAATAATCAGATAATCCGTCAAAGGTGGCCATGGGGAAGTAAACTCCAAGCATCGATTCTGGCACAGCAAGACGCTTGACTCCATTGAACGTTCCATGAGTCAAATTAATCATATCTGCCTCGGAAGATCGATCATGAGGTTCAATGAAAAGATCATCCAATTTATCAGGAGATACATAGAGTATATCCCGAAGGGGATTGAAAGGAAGAGACAAGCGTGGGAAAGTGGGATCTCCGTATATTTCGATACCATGACTGTGTGCCCAGGTGAGGGTGATCTTGCGAGCCTCATGATTCACAAATAAGAGAGGTGTTGGGACGAGAATATTATCAAGAAGATCGTAGCGGAATTCGAAGTTTCTGTTCAGATCTTTAGTGCTGAATTTTTCACTGACTTCGTCGCAGTAGCCTGGATCAGATTCGGTGAAGATTCGGGGTTGCCAACATCCTCTTTTGTAGAAGTAGAGTGCTGGAGGGAATTCGGAGGGAAGAGACTCTTTCCATATTTCAGTACGTAACTCAACAGCGAGCCTAGAGAAGAGGGGAAATGTGGAAGGCGAGGTTGTTGTTGTTGTTTTCATGGTTATTACGTATCGTGATTCTCCGATGGGCGATGGGCGCTGGTGTGAGTGATGTAAAAGTTCTTGAGAGTTTCTGTCAAATTAATGGAATGAGAGATACCAAATCTTGCTGAATCTCGAGTATCTTAGACGTTGTTGAGTTTCTGCGATTGTGTTTGGCCCTAGTTTCGAAGTTCTGTTTGCTTCTATTGCGGCGCGATTTTAGTAAGTTGGTAGCTCCCATATAATATTCCTGTAAAGAGTGTCTGTTGCAGTGTGGATCACAAAAGATATCGTAGATTGAAAATTTGGAGCTATTCCTCAAAATTATCTTGTGTTGATCATTAGGTCAAGAACTTGAATGATGTTGAACTTGGACCTTTTTAAGAGACCCTGGTGGATGGGGAAAACAACGCTAATCCGAACTAAGCTCTTGCTTCACATGCTATGCCCTAACGACTTTGAATACAATCTGCTGTCGGTAAGAAAAATTGCTCCTTTTCTGTTCATAGATGTGCTAGACTTATATAGAGCCTCCGCTAGCCGCAATATCAAACAACGCTGATTTGGGATGCTTGTGCCGCTGAGGAACAACAACCACAATCAAATGAGAAGGGTTGTAGACCTAATCGAAAATTCACTAAAAACGTACACAAAAACAGAGGATATTCCCGATTAGTGTTTCGTACCTACTTGCAATGTGTCACATGTTATAAATTCACAAGCTCGTGTTGATCGTTATTCAAGTGAATAGAGGTTCAAGCCTTACCTAGTCAAAGAGAAAAAAACAGGTTAGCAGCCAAGTTGTACACATGAAGTTAAAAAAAAAGTGGCCCTGGCGAACTCTGCAAAGACGAAGATACCAAAGGACGGAAAGCTGCATTGATTTCTTCGATATTCCTCAGGAAATCTCTACATCAGTTTCATTTATTGTAATATCATAATGCTACAAGGGTATAAAATCATACGCATTTCATTGAAGAAGGTATTTCCCGAGACCCAGTGAGATTGAAAGATAGTATAGGGAGTAAAAAAATGTCTGTTTTTTATCTTACATTATTGAGATGGTGCCCTGCTTAGCTTTAAGCTATCAGAAGTCGATGGGCTCGAAGGAATGGAGTAACGGGGACTTTCTATGTTAATTGTTTAGACGAGAGGTTGGGATGAAGGCTTTATCGATCAAGCTGTGAAGTGTGAATTTCGTTCGAGGAGGGGTGTTATTAGCTTCATCCTCAAGTCCCACAGTCTGAAGATGTCATCCAGCTTTCTCTCCACAACAAGTAATCTTGCAAGTTTAGTAAAAAAAATAACCCATTATTGAGGATTGCTCTATCATCCGAATTAGTACCGTATAAAGAGAATCCTGGAATGACCGTAGTTACCCACTCATTTATAGGCTGCGCATAAATTATCTATACCCATGAATTATCTGCGGATAATCCGCTCTGTAAGTTATCTATTAAAGGTTTTACCCACTCCATAAATTATTTATCAAGACTTTAAAATTACTCACTTTATATAAATAACCTATGAATTATCTGCAAATAATCTACAAATATATAAATAAACAAATTATTTATACATTATTTATAAATAATCCATAAATATATAAATTCTTTAAAAAAAGTGAAAATTTGCTTAAAATATAAAGCTATTCTCAAATTATTTTCTAGTTTAAAAGTAATTCAAGCTTAGATTTATACTAATTTTTATATTAATTATAAAATTATATTAATATTATAAAAGATTATAAATAATTATATAATATATAAGTAAATAAATATTCACAAGTAATTTATATCTATTTTATAGATTATTTATTCAGATTCTAAATTATTCATTTCGCAAACAGATTATTCGCGGATTATCTGTCAAGACTATTATCCACCCCGCGGGTACCCGTTGTGCAGCCTACTCATTTGAACTACAACGGCGAGTATACTCTATGGTATATTCATGTAAGTTACGGTTAATAGCTATATAATCTCAAGATGGTCTTCTTCGCCAAAATCTACCGTAAAATGTGTACAGCATACCATGCCTAGTTACGGTCCGAATTTGTAGTTCAAGATATGCCTCTTGAGACAACTTTCTCTACTATGTTCGGTTTCATAAACTGGCGTGAACAGCGCGATCTTTGAAATCAATACACGCCGTACATAATGTGTGCGAATACACAGCATCTAGATGGGTATATAAGTGTCTTACACCACCCAGCCCAGAAAGAGATCCTCTAGATCTTTTACAAGAACATCATTGAACCAAGGTACATTACCGAAGCTCATTGACAACATACCAACCACTTCGATAAACATTCAGAACAACTCTCAAACCAACCACTGTCCGTCATCCATCGTCCATCAGCCTCACTCACTCATCCTCTGCCAATCTTCCTACCAGAACCACTCATCTCCAAGCTCTTCTTCCTCGTATTCATCCTCTTTGTAACCAAAACACCAGCCATGCGTCTTAACTACAGCGCCAAGTACGAAAACGGCACAGTTGCAACCTACACATCCAAGAGTGCAGGAAGAATTCCTGACGCAGACGGGAACAAGATCATTGCCAATATACAAACATGGTCTGGTGGTAAATATACCGTTACTAGAAGAGAAGAACAAAATTTGATTACGGTCAAGAATGTAGTCCCAGCCCCAAATAAGGGAATTGGGAGTGATGAGGTTAAGGAGATGCAGAGTATTGTTAACAAGAACATCAAGTAGAGGACCCGAGTGATGAGCCCCTTGCGTGATAGGATGTTGTTTGGAGTCATACTGATAAATTCATTTGAAATCTCGCTTGCACTGCAATTATCTCAGGGATATTTTGAGGGCATCGATCGGGGAAACTTCTACCCCACGTAATCGAAGCGGTCCCATTCTTGAATGGCGGATTTAGGATTTGAAAAGTCTTCCGGGATGTAAGAACATGTTTGGTATCTCAAACTGAAAGTCATCCTACGCGAAAACTGTAATTGCTCTCCATCGAAATATTGTAGAAGCCATACTTATGGGCATGTATCCGCGAGATTGGCCTGAATTACTGGATTCGTGTGTTCACATGTACTTTCATATAGTAACAGTGAAGTGAATCAAGATTGAACACGATGAATAGTACGAAATAAGGAGGTTAGGCAAGGGAGTTCGATAGATACAAATGAAATTGGTCTATGTACAAATGAAATAACAAAATTAAATTGATCTGTTGCATACTGAATCCCGTAGAGTAACTGTTATGAGACCATGTGCCCATTTTCCTCTAGCAGTGATTGCTATCATTTCGTCAAAGCCTCCATTTCAGTGACTGATAACCTTTCTCCCTTTACAACACGAGCCCTCTTGATAAATTTCCCCGGATGAATGATCAAGAATATCAAAACTACCAAGAACATTGGCGCAGCATCAAATAGATAAAGATAGACTTCTTTATCTCCAATTGTCTCCTTATGTTCTCCAGAATAAGTGAGAGTTCCGTCATCATTCCTCGTAGCAAATTGAAATCCTCCGCCACTTGCTTGCTGCGCATATTCAATCGCACGCACCAAGTTTCGAATGATGAGTAGTATGCTGACTGCGTATAAAGCTCTAAAGTACTTCTTCCATCCCCTTTCGAGTTCCGGATAGCGAAGGCTACTCGGATGAGTTTCTTGACTTTTGTCGAAACGGGCACCAATACGCCAAGCCATATATAGGAAGAAGAAAAATGCTATGATCTGAAATATGAGACCGCCGAGAATGACTTTGTTTCCAATAGATATGACTGTTGCGTCACCAGAAGCTTGAACACCTGCTCCCAGAAATTGACTGAAAAAACAAAGTACATCGATCAGAACGTAAATTTTAGTCAACCATCGTGGACTAATCATCGAAAACTCTTCTGCTCCTAGGGCTACGGTGAGGCGCGCGAGGGTCATATAGACACTAGCCGCAAGAAAAGTTGGAGCGCCGAGAATGAGGATCATTTGCAAGATCCAAGGACCAAGATTGCTGACACTGTCATGGCATTTACTCCGTCCATAGTACCCAAATACTTCGCCTGTGGCTGTTAGCTTAATGAATAGGAATGTCTGAAATTTGGTATCGAGACGCGAGTTGTCTGCGTCTCTAGAGATTAGTACTTACAGAGGCCACCTAAGATAAAATTTATAAAGTACCATGACCGCAGTGGAAATATGTAGATTATGTGTCCCAGAGTGCATAATGCGAAAAGTGCCATAAACCCGTAGGCAGCGGATCCGGATGGGTTGTAAGTGAAATATATGGCGCCCGTGATGTTCCCCCCCGGACCCTCGATGAGAGTAATATCCATGATCTATTGCTATTTAATTTGCTCTTCCTGAAAATTGAACAAAGAGTAAAGAATGTCGTGGAAATGGAATTAGATGTATGGAATTGGGAAAATTGCAAGCAAGGTGGAAGTTAGAAAGTAAGAAAAATCATAATGTGTAAGAGCAAAGATAAGAAGTATCTTGCTATTAAATATCAAGTTGCATTGGTGATGGCCCTGACTTACTATTGTGGTGAGCTTATACGCAGTACGAGAGTTGTTAATTCACTTGCACCCTGACATCTGGACCGGATACTCTAGCCCTACCAATATGAAGCGCCAGATTGCCAGTCAGGGGTCATGACTAGCAAGTACAATTTCCTTAAATTGATGACCAGCCCGGAGACATAATCGGCTTCTATTTCAGGACCTTTTGCTGTTCTTGGCTCATCGGCAGTTTGCAGCGACAGGTTGATGGTTTGTAGGATACCTCATCATGCAAGGGGGTGGACCAAGTTGAGACGATTCGAAGTGAAGTGTTGTGACAACTGCCACTAAACAGAAGCCAGAGGTGAGAAATTCCGAAGCAACTCCAAACATACAACATAAAGAGAATGCCTGCTCGGCCACTCCCTTCTCGGGGAAAAACGAACTTTTTGAAATTGATTCACGCTGTCTAACCCAAATCGACCGAGTCAGCCATCGCTAATCTATATTAGGAAGTCGTGTACGAGTACGTTCGCAGATGCACAGACCCTAATTAAACGCCAGACTCGCCTACTAGCCAAGAGATTCTGCATAGCGCTAGAGATGTGGGGCAGCAAGCTGCAACCTTATTTTTCGTATGACATTTCCGAAAACAGCCATATATACGTGTCGGCTCCAAGATTTGACACCAGCTTATCAAACAAACGGGAAAATCAACACATGAAGGAAGAAACACCGCACTAGCTTCGATATTTCAAATCTTCCATTCATCGTATTCAAGACCCAAAGAGTACTTGATAAACGAAAGGCAAAAACCACTGTATTTGCTGTACCGTCTTTCGCAAAGCGACAACTTCTCTCAGCATCTCTTTATTGGTTGGATTACCTATGATCGAGGCTCAGTCGCGTACACACATTTCCGAAGTCTGAGGTACGACTACAGTTCGAACAAGTCCGATGATCCGAAGGCCTCATAAGAAATCGCGCAACGGATGCCATGGTTGCAAAAAGAGGCGAATTAAGGTATGTATATAGCATTCTTTAACAATCTATTGTCCCATTTTATTTGCATCTGAAATTTGCATATAAAGTCAAGCATGTCGATTTTATCCACTCTACGTCAATCGCTGACATTGTTTTGCTTCCCCTCGAAGTGTGACGAGGAAAAGCCCCACTGCCAGAGATGTGTCTCACGTGATATCACATGTACTTACCCACGATTACAATCTCTAGTCTGGGTGAATGACCTGTCGAAGCCAGAAGCAAACAGTAAAACATCAAGAGACAGTGGCCCTTCGCCTCCAGCTTACAGTTCGACCCCTCAAAATGAAGAAGCTTTGACTTCGGGCACGAAAAGTCCGTCCCTCAATCTCGAAAACATAGATCTGATAATCCACTGGTTCACAAAAACCGTGTACACAGTAAATCCACCCAATAATCTCCATGCCATCAAAGTATCACAAACTCTCATTTTGGATGAAGCAATGCAACATCAATATCTCCTCCATGGACTCCTTGCTTTATCGGCTCTTCACTACGCAGAATCCCATCCAGACCCTCAGAAATATATCGAGATCGCCACGGCACATCACACCCAAGGGCTTACTCTTTACCACTCCATCCTCTCGGATATTAACAACGGGAATGGTACTGCCATTATTGCTTTTTCGAGTATTACTGCTATGTTTGCCTTTGGTCTTGCGAGACCAGACGCAAATAAAGAGGCTTCAGTGAGATTGATTGACGACATGGTTCAAGCCATTTCTTTGTCTAAAGGTTGGCAAACTATTATGCATGTGACTCGGGGACTAGAGTCCCCTTCCCCTCAGAAGGAACAGATCACTCTGTCACCGGATGCTGAAGCTGTTTTTGATCGACTATACGCTTTAAGCCAAGGTCAAAACGAAACACTCTATGAAACAGCAATCACTTCCTTAAAATACATTTTCAAGAAGACAGAAAAAGGAGAAAATGATAATCCGCATTTAGCCTGTGAATGGGGAGGCTCGTTGGAAGAAGAATTCTTGCAATTGCTCAGGGCTAGAGATCCTGTTGCTCTAGTGATTGTGGCATTTTCTTGTGTAATATTTGAAAAGGTTCCGCAGGTATGGTGGTTTAAGGGTTGGAGTGAGGGGCTTTTTGGGGTCGTTTGGAGGGAAGTTGGACAGGATTACCATGAGCTTTTGGAATGGCCGAGGAGGATTGTTGGTTTTGAGATATAAATGCGAACGTTTTGGAATTGCGAATTATGGCGTTGGAAGGTATTGACAAATTGAAACATTATTTCAATATTCAAAGACAGCAAAGAATCCTAACGGCTGTAATAATCATAACCTGTTATGATAAAATACAATCAAATCTTCTAATGTAAATAGAAAACACCTTTAATCTGAATGGCAATATAATATTAAAACGGTGTCAAAATCTCCATATTTGTTTCCAGAAACTCCCAACAATTTTCTTCGCTCCAATTGGGGCTCAAACAATCAGGGGAGATTTGAGTCAGCTGTGGAGAACCCTTCTCCACAATACGGTCTTGTTTGATCTGCCGGCCATTTCCAAGAATAATCTTTTACGAAATCGCCATGAATGCATCGGAGAACTGAAATGAATGTAGAAACGTTTGTATTCAAAATATGCCCTTGTGTTCTATATCCATTCCATACTCAGAACAGAGTTACCAGAGAAAGTAAAGCGCAGGCTCTAAATACTACCATGAATAGTGAATAATGAACCTTTTGAGGTATTAACCCGAATTAGAGTTCGCTTTTGGAGTACGGAAGGATCTGATTGGATGAAGATTAGATGGTGAAGGCATGGCAACGAATTTCCTTGATCAATGATAGTTATATTTTTTGTATATTGTAAAGCTTGAAGAATAGTACTAAACCATCTTCGTCGTTGGTGATTATAAATAGATATCTATAGCCGAACACATATATCTGTAGCTTTCATCGAGGTGAAGCTTAGGACAAATCTCAATCGCGATATCTCTATACAGATGACTCACTGGCAAGCTCTAAAGCCCGCGGAGCCAAGACAGTGTGTTTCATAATCTTTATATCATCTGATCATTCCAATGCGACGACAATGATAATGGCAATAAGATTACCATCAATATAACAAGCCCGGGAAACAGCAAGAAAAGTTTACCCCGAAATATCGATGAATCTCAGCTAGTATCTCCCGGCAGTATAATCAAATTTCAACTTCCACATCCTTTAAGTTACTACATGTTACACAAGGAAGGAAGCAAAGACTCCCTGGAATTTCATCTTCAGAATGCGTAACAAAGATGTGTTGATATTCTGAGATTCTATGATAAGTAAACTAAATCACTTATATATCTTACTATTTAAGAGATATATTGATGACTAATACATATACAATATGATTTTATATTATAAAATTATATTATTATATTGTTAGATTATCATAGCTCTTACCAAATTGATTTATAATGGAATAGAATTTAATGGAATTATATGGAAGATTATTGATAAAGCAGAGTGAAGTTAGTAATTGATTGTACTTTCTTTTTATAAAATAATGATTCTATAAGATTTGATTGACATAGATCTTATTTATAAGTATAAAAACTACGAGAATTTTATTATAAACTATATAAACCTAAGATATTCTTTGAAGAAAACCTAGAAAAAGCAAGCAAATTCAGATCTATTTAAGCTCTTTCTTATAATTTGACTTCAATTCAACTCTCATACTATATGTTCAATTTATCCCTTAAGCTAAAGTGACTAAGTCTTCCAATAATACTAGAATACTAATATTAATTATTATTATTCTAGAAGCTGACCTCCAAGAGATATCATGTCCATTTGAGACTGTTTATGTAGTCATAATCAGCTTCTGATAACTTTATGAATCCTCTGGAGGTGAATCATACAAACCCTAAACTCGAACCTACTCTCCTCCTCAAATTCTCCGCCATTTTTGTTTATATATTCTTCAGAAAAACAAATCCCCATAAACACATACAAACTCCACACATTCAATTTCCCAATGATCGACCGTCAACATCAGCGAGTCACATAACAGATGAATGAGGTAGGAGAATTGTTGGTTCAAGTTTGGGTTCGAGAAGGATACAGAAGACGTAGCACCTACAGTATTCGTAAGTCCTAAATGTCTATATTGTATTCTATCTAAAGAGCTAGCTAATTATAGGAAGTTGTAGGTCTTATATAGACGCTACAAGAAGAGCTAGTCTCTTCTGCTTTTCGCTTGAAGCTACTGTATCCCGCATTCGCTAAAGACTGCAATACAGTAGCTAATGAATTGAAGCTACTCACTAGATTCTAATGATCAATGTTCATACAAGAATGTTTTAATACAACTGAGAATCAAGAGCGGGAAGAGGATAAGAAATTGGGGCATCGTTTGCATATTGCATGTATCGAGTGGTTATTCCCCATTGAGACGAGTATGTATGTATGTGGTGATATTGCTAATGATAGTATAGATTGCTAACGTGAAAATGTTGTTATGAATCCCTAAGTCATAGCAGGAATAAAGAAAGCAACATTCGAGCGTAACGACAATTAAGCGAACTACAGCAATACTGTACTAAGATACCTACTAGCTTCATATTCAAGCCCGGAATCAGGAAACTCATCAGGCTTTCATGATTTGTAACTTGATTTCTCACGGGGAAAATCCAACTGCTGATTGGAGGCCATTCCTACCAAGAGCAATGGTTCCAAAACGTATGTACATACCCCTCAATCTCGGTTCTCAGCCAATATTCTCGCTAATTCTCATAGCACATCGTCCAGAATGAATAGTGTTCGTAACCTCCGGAATTCCCACCACTACCCTCGTCGTCGTCCCCCACCTCTCTCCAAGGCAAAACAAATAGCAAAAAGCAAAAGGAACATACAACAGTAGGGATTCGCTGGTGGTCACCCACCCAACTACTAATCCACCGATCTGAAGCTTGTGTATGGCAGAGCGGACGGGATGCCCAATTCTCTTCAGTCTATGGTCGTATGTGATAGGGATTCCCTTAACAAAAACTATAAAGTCAACTACCCCACTTTCCGACCACCTCAAAAACCACACCGCTTTGAGTAATTATAAAATTTATACTTTGAATAACTCAACAATGCTTTAATCAATTGATTTGAAATTTTGACATTATTATAATTGTGATATGAAGAATAGATATACCGAAGAAGATATCGCAGAGGCTCTTAGAGCGATTACAAATGGAGCAAGCATACGAAGAGCTAGCTTGGATTATGGTGTTCCACGTACCACACTTCACGATCGAATATATGGTGGAGTTTCGCATCAAAAAGGCGCCCAAATACTTCAAAAGTTATCTCCAATTCAGGAGAATCGACTAGCAGAATGGATATTAGTACAGGAAGCTCTTGGTACTAGCCCTACACATCGTCAAATCAGAGAGATGGCAGAGCACCTCCTTATTGTACGAGGGGAGGATCCCTCACTTGGAAAGAAATGGATACATAGCTTTTTTCGAAGGCATCCTAATATTGGGACTAAGAAGCAACATCAAATCGATTCTGCACGAGTTTCAGGTGCTACATCTGATATTATTAAGAAGTGGTTCCGGAACCTCGCAATCCCTGAAATCAAGGCTATTAAGCCGGCCAACAGATGGAATATGGATGAAGCAGGTATAATGGAGGGTCAGGGTCTTAATGGACTAGTAGTAGGAAGCACTGATCGAAGATTTATTCAAAAAAAGCAACCTGGATCTCGAATTTGGACCTCTTTTATAGAATGCATTTCAGCCAATGGAAAAAGCATTACTCCCCTTGTAATATATAAGGGAAAATCAGTTCAACAACAATGGTTTCCAACAGATTTGACTCTATTCAAGGGTTGGAACTTTACCGCTACAGAAAATGGATGGACTACAGATGCTACAGCTTTAGAATGGCTGAAAAAGATCTATATCCCTCAAACTACCCCTATTCAGCCGGAAAATTCAAGACTCCTCATTTTGGACGGACACGGAAGCCATGAAACTACAGCATTTATGTTAGAATGCTTTAATAACAACATATATCTCTTATTTCTCCCACCACATACGTCACACGTACTACAACCACTCGATTTATCTGTGTTCTCACCCCTAAAAAGTGCATATCGAATCGAACTTAATAAATTAAGTCTATTATCCGATTCCTCACCAATTGGAAAGCGCAATTTCCTTTCTTGCTATCAGAAGGCTAGAATAGAAGGTTTAACTATTCAAAATATCAAGTCTGGGTGGCAAGCTAGTGGTCTTTGGCCCAAAAATATGGCTAAACCTCTTATGAGTCGACTTTTGCTCGAAAATAGCAATAGAGAGGTTTTATCACTTAATCCTGAATCTGATGATGATCCTATTCTTCAATGGAATATACATTCATCGTTTATTCAATGGAAAACCCCTCAAAAAGGAGCCGATATCAGAAAATATAGAGATATAATGATTCAAGAGAAGGAGATCGATTTGCCAACACGAAGATTACTATTTCGCAAGATTATAAAAGGATTCGATGCTAAGGATTATGAACTCTTAGAGGCAGAGAATAAGATTAGAAAGCTAGAATATCAATTAGATGAAGCATTACCTAGAAAAAGGCGAAAGGTTGTGGTATCTCCAAATTCGAAGTTCGCAGGGATTAGAGCTATAAGGCGTACACAAATTGAAGCTGGAGATCGTGAAGATGAGGTAGATGATAGCTCTAGTGCTATAGAAAGTGATTCTACAGGCGATTTCATTGAAGTTCAATAGTTATTGAGTTATTAAAGTTTTAAGTGTAGATAATATGAATTTTTTAGGTGGTCGGAAACAGGGGGTGGTCGGAAAGTGGGGTAGTTGACTCATACCTAAAAAAACACATGGCAACCCAGATGTCTGAAATACACAAGTACATTTCAACACTCAAAACAATTTCAAACAATGGTATCCAAACACTTGAAACTTTCACCCGTTTCGTCAAGCTAAAATCAAAGCAAATCTTGTTCTTTCAGTCTAGTAAAGTAGTTTTGATCTTTCTGATCTCTGTCATCTTTTTGTTTTGGCCACTTTGTATTAATCTCTTGCGTCCAACCACTGAAATGATAGCGTAACTTATGTAACATATCGCTATTAAGGATGCAGTGTCACTATCATTTATCGATTATATCTCTCCTCTTGCCCCAGTAAGAAATACACAACTTCATCGCTATTCTCCTATCCTTAGCGCCGGGATGAGGCTCCCGGCTCACCAGTGCGTGACGAAGATGGAACAGCTTGAGCAGCTGGTTTCTTACTTCCACTACTCGATTTCTTTGCTGGCGGTTCCTCTTCTGCTTTCTTGCTATCACTCTCTCGTTGTCGTTGTTTTCCATGACTCTCAGTTCTTGTTCGTGAACTTCCACGATCACGATTACTTCGTGTTGGTGGATCTTGTTTTGGTTCTTTTCGCAATAATTGCCGCAACACGCCTCTTTTATCTTTTCCTGCATCTTCAGATGGAGTCTCTGGCAAAGGTCTGGGCACATATCCAATTCCATACTTTTTGACTGCCTTCTCGGCGCTGTCTTCATCACACTTGTTCACCCAATCGTAACTTCCTATGAGTCCATTCATCATCATCCCACTCGCATTTAGAATGCTGCCAATTGGATTTCCTGGGGTCCAGGTATTCTTGCACTTGTACCAGCCGCTTATATAAGATACCTTCTCTTTAAAAAATTGAGGTGCATGAAGCAACGCATGCTGATGGGCATCAAAACCAGCAAGCATAGCTCTCTGCTTTTCCGGAAGCTTTTCACTCGAGAATTTATTATCGTAATTGGTGTAGCCACCTTCAAAGGCACCACTTAGTATAACTTTACGTGTTTCTTCCACAACTTCCTGGGGAAAACCCTTGGTGCGTTTCCATCTTCCATAGAATATCGATCCTTGATACAACACTTCATCGGCTTGTTCTCTGCTTAAAAATGCGAGGTTCACCAGCCCTGGGTAATATATCACGTACTGGGGTCGTAAGTTTTCAAAAAAATTACGGCTTTTAGTTACGTCATTTCGGTCCCATGGGTCTTCGCGAGGACTTATAGTGACAGTAGTCCAGATGTGATATCTCAGGCCCCTTTTTTTCATTGTTTCTTCTTTCACACAACACCTAATGATGCGTTTGATCGTATCAATTGCGCCACGCACTGTGGGCCATCGCGTCCTAAACTTTTCTATAAGTTGCTTCTCGGCGGGTGTGATGGAATTGTCTTCTTCAGGATCATAGTCCCAAAATAAGGGGTCTTCGTCGGTAAGCATTTGCTTCAAAAATAGGATTGAGTTTTCAATCCTCGTCTTACGTACAGGCAGACAGCTTCTAATATTTTCTTAAACTCCTCGGGATCTTGCTTGACTTTCTCGTTTAGGCATTCTACGATGTCGGCTTGCCCAAGTTTGATGAAGAGTTTTAATACCCTGCGAACTTGGGGATCTTCGATACGCCTCTCAACATCTAGAGATAATAAGATGGGCTTTACCGTGCTCGTGCTGCTTTCGTGCTTCATTGTTCGTATTAAAAGTGTTGCTTAATGGTATATTCGGTTTTTATCTAACGTTCTCGCACGTCTCAATGGTATCTCTTAACGTTCGATTTGTTGTATGGAGACTAAGTGATTTGATAAGACTATTGCTATACCAAGTGTACTATTTATGCTTATACCATTCACCAATATTGGTCTACAGATCTGGCAGAATCACAACAATATTTACGGTTGCCTACAAACCCAGGACAGATTTCTACAGCCGTGTACCAGTATGGCCTCTGCTACGACATGCTCTCCAAGCAAAAGTTCTATTTCTTAATGACCTCCTCTTGTACGTTCAAATCCTTCGACCACTCGATTAGGCTACTCAATAATTATTTTTCTCATGAGTAATCTTCAGACAATGTGCTCTGTAGGTTATCGACAAGATCTACTACCTACTCTGCAGAATAATTCTTGTAAAAAAGTAGTATAATACCAGGATATATTTAAGCTTTGATTATCAACATGCCTTGAAATTACTTCCAGATTATCTGGTTGGACTTCCCAATTATCTGCTCTGTAGGCAGATAATCTGCACATTATTTGCGAGGCTCATTACTGCTCTGCAGGTATCCATTTAGCAGCCTTGACTCGATAAATCTCATAATGGATGTTATCAATCTGACGACCGTTTATTAGACCTTTTCTAAATACTGTAACCGGTTGTCTGATCCTTCTCCGAATGCAGAGCTATCCATGACCAGGCGGCAGTGATACAATAGGCAGGATGACCCCAGGTCCTCGTCTATCAAAACATAAAACTGAGTAAAGGTCATTATCAGTATGATGTTGAAAGACCACAGCCTAGTTTTCTCTAGTCTTTGGCTATATGTAATAGGCGACGCTTCAGTGAATATACAAGTAAAGGTAAACAAGCTTACAAGCGAATTGAGGTTGAGCAAAATCTTTTCTATCTGTAGTCCGACCAGCAATAAAACAGCCCTACCCCAACTATGGCTTCACTAAGATTAACATGATAGTTCGATTACTGGAGTCTCTTTACAAGTGATCGTCTTGCGGGAAAACAGCTTAATTAAAAATACATTCGAGATGAAATAAGATGATATGTGGGGTTCCCGCCATCTCAAGCCACCCAAATAAATTCATTCGACCTCATTTTTGATGCAATAGATTAGTAACTGAGTACACTAACGAAAAAACAGTACAACCCAATAAATTTAACAAAACAAACACCACCACCAACAAAGTACCTCAAAACAGAACCAACAAGACCAACCAGTACATCAGCTATCCATCGGGTCTTCGAGAGACCCCAGCATACCGGGTAGGGGTTCGATTCCTCCAGGCCAGGCAAGTTTAGCGCCTCGTCTAGAACCATGCTAGACCCGGTCGCGATTCCGGTCCTCGGGAATTGATATGGGATTCCAAGCGATTAGTATTAATCCACATTTATAATTAAAACAAACTTATCATTTTTATCTGACCATTGCTTTTTCGACGAAACATAGCGAGTCGCGACTCTTACAGTAGATAATTATAAAAGTTCTATATATCAAAGAGAATAATACCAATATTATAGGTCTGAAGTCTAATTGAAATCTGAGAATGATGTATAAGTAATTAAAGGTAATAAAAAATCCTTTATATTTTATCTATTTCATATTTCTTGGAAGTAAATAGCTTGTTCTTCCCACGAGTATGGAATAGGTGTAGATTGAGCTCCTGTATTCATAGAAGTCTGTAGTTCGAGTCTCTAAAGAGACGAGGAAATCTCAGAGCGGAGACTTTTCATAGGTCAGGACTCAGGAAGACACTCGCCCCCCCCTAAGATCATCAGTACGACTACATCAAGAGTATAGCAATTATAAAATACAGCTTCAGAGAGTGATCATCGATCTTTCCTCTCATCGCGTATATACTCATAATAAACTTACCTCAACATAGAGAACCGTAATACTAATACACTATAGGAAAATAACGACGAGGTCTACCCATGATGTGTATACCAATCGACCCGAAAAGAAACACGAGATAATCGCTGGTTCGAAGTAAAATGAGACATGATCAATGAAAATTAGAAAATTAGAAAATTGTTTTGCATTCGCAAGTTTGCACAGGTGTAAACATTTCATTACTATTAGATTTTTATATAATGAGGGATAAATCAACGCCAACACAAAGTGTAAGCAGCAAGGTATCTTAAATGCTAAAACACCAGAATCCGCATCCAGTCCTAAGCACTGGACTAAAACCCAAGGTATCAATGCTATCAATGCTATCCCAAACGCCATGCCTTACTAGTCGCAACCTATTCTTCCCATCTTTCTCCCACATATTACTCCTTCGATATTCCTCTTCCCCCTTCCATCTTCTCTTTCCTCATTTCCTCTAGCTCCCTCTCTAACGTCTTTTGCAACCTTTCCAGTACCCATTCACTCTCCTCCTTATTTCCCATTAACGGACTTCTATGTCCCACCCAACTCCACTTCTCAACTTTATCATCGCATTCACCCTTTGAGCCACCTAAATTTTTCCCGCTCTTTGGTTTTACAATCGCTTTTCTATGGTTTTCAGCCTCGCTCTCGTCGTCCCCTGTCAACTTAAGATACCATGCCCATTCATCAAATGTGTATTTCCTTGGCGGAGAGCTGTTGAGATGTTTCATCACTTCTCCAATTTCCTTGATAAGGATGCAATGATAATGACGTCGATTTTTCGGCAGCTGATCATTCTCCTCCTTTTGTTCCTCGCCGCGTCGAGTTTGGATGAGTTCGCGTTCATTTTGCGCGGCGCCAAAACCAGAAGTCTTGCCAGAATCGCGTGGAGCTGCAGGACCTTCAAGATCTAAAGGTAGTTTTGATATCTTGAACAATTTCCCAAATGTCATCTTGTTTGTTGTTTCTTTCATAGAATGCCTTACTCCTTTCTCGCCGGGCAAGATGGTAGAATTTCCGATCCAAAGGGTAATATCACGAATACCTTTGACGATTGTGTCGCCCATGTTACTAATAAGGATTGTGAGAGATGGGACGGCAAGCAAAGACCAGAAAACAAAAAGTGGTTTGCCTGAATTGGATTGTGGGTAAAAATCCCCATATCCGATGGTCAAGAGCGAGGTGTAGGAAAAGTAAAGAGACTCAAAGTAACTCCAGCTTTGTGTATACCCTGTGACACGAAATATTGCTGCCCCAACAAACCAAAGTAAAAGCCATGTACTTCCGGAGATTATCAGAGAAGTCCAACGACGTTTAGTAGCCGCCTCTTCTTGGATACGTCTCATTAAATCGAACTCTTGTTGACGCCTTTCTCTTTCCGTTAAACCATCATCACTGACAAGTGTATTGTTTGATTCCGGGGATGAGTCTCCTGTTGCGATAGGCTTCAATACTTCAACATTCTTCTTTTGAGTCTTCCTCAAGATATGCCTTCGTTCTTTTTCGACCATTCTGGCCCCTAGCTTGACTTTTCCACGTTCCAAGACCAACGATCGAATTGAGCCGATAACGAGACCTAGAATAATTATTCCGCCAATGGCAAAAGGGAATAATAAACTCCTTCCCAAATGTGTCATTGGTGCATAGTCTCCGATACCAACTGTTAAAAGTGTAAAATCACACCAATAAAGAGCATCAAGATATTGCCATGACTCGACATGGGAAAACGCTGCCGCACCAGCAAGTAGATATACCAGAAAACTGATCGTTTGTAACATCAAAGTTCTTTGACTCATAGTCAATTTGAATTCTTTCGGGTAATGCCCTTTATGTGCTCCGTATACCGTCACCACCATCAAACTGGCCACCAGGAAGTATAGACCAGCAGAAAATAGAGCATAGTAGAATGCTTGCGTATAAGCATGGTCCGGTGGGGATGGAAGTTTCAAAGGCCCAGATGCACAAGCCGTTAATCCAATTAATGCTAAAGAAGACAGATACCAGCCAATAATTGTGATAGGTTGCGCGATCGAGAACCGAACCCTTTCTGCCATATTCAACAGTAGGAACAGATTCGAAATGAGGGCTATTGCCAATTGTGCAGCATTTATACCGATCAATCTATTCCAATGTGTCAACGCGACTTCTTCCCAATATTTCTCGAAGGGCGTACCATTTCGGATCGTCGATATATATTCCATGCTCCTCCACTCCACCGGGTGGTATTGAGACCCTCCAATGTACGACTGATGCGCAAATACTGAAGGCCGATGCCATCGGTCCAAAAGTGCCGGCGACGAGGGGAAATGCAGTACTAGCAAACCACCAACGACTGAAAAAATGGTTGTTAGCAGAGTCTTTAATTGGAAGGACAGGATATCAGCGGAATCTCCCCTCTCGCGTACCTTGGCTCAAGGAAAGCTTCCTCATCTTCCTTAGTTTCATCCCTTTCATCGCGCTGTTGATTCTCTACATCATCAGCGTCGTTGGAGATGGGTTCATCAAGACCTGGATCATTCATCGTGAAGGAGATAAGACAAGATTAACAACTTGGCAGAAATGAAATGGCAGAAGAAATTTTCAAATCAAAACATGTTGAAGAAATACTAGTCGGTTGAGATTTGATAAATGTAGTCATTTCTTGATTATATCAAAAAATTCTATCATGCAACTAACAATTATATTAATTTTTACCAAACAAAAAATCTAGTGTCAATCTCCCGTTGTCTTGCAGATGGCCAGGCCCGTCTACAATATGACGTCGGTCAAAACCATGGTTTGCAAGGACGGAAAGAGTCAAACCCTGCTTGGGGAATCAAGAACCTGATTGTCGAACAAAGGAAAGATATTGAGAAGATATGTCTACTAGGTAACGCTTGACCAAACCCACGACGATTTCGTTTGAAACCTCGTAGTCGAAGAAGGAGAACATTATAAGTCTGTTGGGATTGTTGTGGAGAAGGACGCTGTTTGATCTTGGTTCCCTCCGCATTTTAGCTCTTGGCTCTTGGCTTTTGAGATCAATGAAAGTATTTGGCGGGGTGTACATACGGCTCACTAGTACTATACAATTAGAAGTATATCTTCAGCTCGCCGATGATGGGATTCAAAGTGTGAAATCGTCTGGAAAAGCCTCACCGGGAATGAATTGTACTTGGTAAGACATCAATGTCAGCGAGGACAAAAAGTTGTCGCGTCGCATAACCTTGTTTTGTGACTAACCAAATCAAGCTAGCGTACATCACCTTATCATGTCCTAGGAAGCTTGCACCCTGCGGTACCATATGTTTCTTTCTTCAATCAAGGCAATTGCGCATCTGAACTCTTGATTTTCCCTTGAAACATCTCACCTATCAAAGCGACGACGATGTGTTGCAAATCTCATGTGGGGAAGAATCACAGCGCTTTTGTTGCATATCTAATTTGGGAATTACCCCCAGATGTGCGGGAAATCTCCTTTAGTGTGGTCTGGACACGTCTGACTCAGACTGGTAGTTGATCCTTCTTTTGAATCTGATATTGCTCTAGTATCTTTGACTCGCACCTTACCTTTTGGCGGCATCACATACCTACATCGAGGTCAACGTCGTATGGATCTTTGTTGGCACGACCGGTATAGAACTACAAGATATTACATACAGGTCCTGAAAGTGGATTCACACGCAAAATGCCAAACCAGCGCTTACTTCAGTGGGAATGATAGGATGGATGTTAGGATGGATGTTAGGATGGATGTTAGGATGGAGTGCTGCCAAGAAAATTACTCCCCCATCTCATTTGTCCCTTCAGTTTGATTCTTTCTTTTTTCGTCAATTTAAAATACAACCCTGGCTGTATTTTGGGGTCTGGTTTTCTATCCGTTATTTATGCCGTTACGATAGGATTGCTGCGCCGTGTGCATGTCACTGCACGTCACTGCACGTCACTGCATGGCCATCATAACACATTTTCTTACCACTCCTCAGCTTGTAATCAAATCTAAGATAGGTATCATATAACATTTACTTGCGTTTTCGAATTGGGTTTTTATCTTCGCAAACGAAATCGTTCAATACATAAATCAGCATTTTTCACAGTATGTCGTCAGGTGATACGCAAGCCAAGGGATGGAATTGTACATCCTACCCGGCCTTGGTAGCAAACCCTGATATTGGAGGTATCGGAGTATGATCAAATGGATTTCTTTGGTCGTCACTTGAGTCTATGATTCAACTCACTAACAAACATTGCAGATAATATTGACATTTGTTATTTCAGTATATCTAACTCTAATATGCTGTGTGGCCAAAGCTAGAATCGATCATCTCCGTTCTCCAAATGAAAATACACCCAAACTGGATATTTGGTCATTTACCCTTAAAAATTTGATCCTAAATTTCAGCGACCAACAAGTCGTTTTAGGAATCGCGGTTCTCATAGCAGGAGTATCTCAATTACCTTCGGGACTTGATTCTTATCACTGGCAAACGGTATTAAACCTGGCTTGGTTTTCAAGCTTTACACATGTATTGACTCTTACAGGTAAGACTGACACAAGTCCTCAGGTATCAATGTGTACGGGCTAATGTTAATAGCTTTAAGGGCGGAGAACTACTCTAACAATAAGAACAAAGCCATTCGTGTAATTGCTATGGGAGTTCTAGGTGTTATACTAATGTGTATGGTGCATAACTGCTGGATGGGTCAGTGGAACTGTAATAGACGTATCTTTAGAGTATTCCAAAAATAGTCCTCCAATGAGTCTCCCAGTATGGTGTCTTTTTCGGCCAAAAATTCCATGGATGTGACAAGATCATCTACTCGACATTCAGTACAACTGGACTTATGTTGTGCTCGCTTTTGTCACACTAGTTTTCAGTTACACAACACGGGCATTATTGTTATACTTTGAAAGTATTGGTCAAGCGATGACGTTGATGGCCAAATTTCTATGGCTTGATAGTTTAGCCGGCCTCTTCGGGATCACAAATATGAAATCAATAGGATCAAGATTAAATGGGATGGGAAGGCAAAAGTGGAGCTATAGACTTTTACGATCTCTGTATGCAATATCTTTTGCCTGTAGGCAGACCTTTGACTCAACGATATGGGAGGTACGAAACACTTCACACTCCTTGGCACTACTTTACTAAAATCATTAGCCGGGATGGCTCTCTTTTGCTCTTGTTTGGGGCACAGTTCGTATCTTTACTATTCGAGATCTTCCCAATTCTCAAGACAATCTGGATTCGTCCGAATCAACGTCTGCTATACTTTCGGAAGAGAATGATTGGGGATTTGGACAAGTACTTGGCTTATCACTTATGATCTTACCACTATTAAGTTTCTGTGGCAAGTATGCAATTATTCTCATACTCAGATATGAACTAATATCCTGAAAGAAGCATACTCGTCCCCTCGGGATGCGACGTCTCCACGAAAGAAAATTTTCACTGATGCACAAGCATCATCTGATACCTCTAGTGATTACGGCAGATTGCCATTATCCATTGATCTGTCCCAGACCTACACTTCAACCTCAACCAATCTGCAGAAAAGTCAAGTCAGGATCGAGATCGAGATCGAAAATGAACTTTGGTTCCGAAAAATAATTTACATCATTTATCTCCTCTCAGTAGGTACTGGAGGAATGACAATATTTATAAGCCTATTCGAAGTTCCATCCTTTCTAGGCTTAGGAGTCTTCCTAATATATCTTGAATGGATGTTTGTTGATCTTTTCGTATTGTGGTTGGCGATATTAATATTCATAGATCATGATATTCAAAAGAATTTGACGAAGAGCTGGATTGGGAAAGTAATGAACAAGATGCCGTGGTTTTGGTGGTGCCTTTTTGTGCCTTTCTTGGTTACATTGTGTTTTGTAGTTTGGCTTGTGAGTGTTTTTCTACTTATAAAAGGATTGGAGATAATTGCACATAAGAGTTGGGAGTCTCATTCGAGGAAATTGAGGGGGGTAAAAATGATTAGTACAAGAATGTACGAGGTGGAAGATCAAATCAACAAATATGTGTATTCCAGATTGGCCGCTATAAAGCCTCGATTTCTATACGATGTTTTGATTAGATTTTGCTTAGATGGAATTCAGTATATAAGATATGTCTATTCACTATACACATAGTGGCAGGTGGGAAAGATACCCCTAGATTTGGCATCTATGGTAGCAGCAGAGACTCAGGTCTACCTAATAAAGTTGAATCCAAAAACCACCAGTACCTAGGCATACCGTACTCAAGATGTACTTTGTACTCCAGTAAATCAAGCAAGAGATAACAACGCATTAAGATCCTCTCCCGAATGGTAGATACAATCAATTTCCAAAATGATTTACTCCTCAATTAATCCGAGCTATACTCCCTCATCGATTCCCGAATGATTAATTCCCATCAGCGCATATAACATTTCACCAATCCATTCGATTCCTAACCGAAACCCCTAATGTCGAACCTAAACCAATCCAAAGATCCCCCTCGCTGTTATTAATACATATATTCAAAACTCATCGCTCCTTCCATCGAACGATCATAACAAGCAGCTTTGGCCGAGCGGTCTAAGGCGATGGTCTTAAGTTTCTTAAGTTCACCATTATCGAAAGATGCGTGGGTTCGAACCCCACAGGCTGCAGTTCATTCTTTTATTCTTGACCTTTTGGGGGGGAGGAAGGAAGTGAAGTCTTTTTGTGGTGGGAATGTTTGAGGGAGAGGAATTTTTGGGTGGTGGGTTTTGTTTGTTTGTTTTATTATTTACCCCACGTAGAGGGAGGAGGGATCCGCTTGTAGTGGGGTATTAGTTCGGTTATGTGGGGTGGGAAGGGGAGGTGTGGCTTGTGGTGGAGTGGTTCTTACACCCCTGGAATTTTGGCGAGTGTTGGATTTTGGTTTGGGTGCGGAGCGAGGGAGTATAAGATTTGGTGATAGTAGGAAAGTTATGGTTATTGAGGGGAGTTATTGCTACGCAGGCAAAAAAGCCAAGGATTTCTGTTTTTTTGGTGAAATATTTTGTTTGATTTTAAGTTGGTATTTGTGATTAATTGTCATTGATCGATAGTCTAGTCTAATTAATATAACTACGAAACGGGATGATATAACAACATCATCTCGTCCGATAACTAACAGAAATCACATATGTAAATCATCGAAGAACATTGAGAATAAACACATGTGAACAACAGCAATAACTCAATGCTCAATGCTAAATGCTCAACCTTCACATAAATTTTTGGAGTATATTCCGACTCTTTTTGACATAGCAAGCAATACGCTATCACAGCCTCAGATGTTATACAGATACTGGATAGAAATCTATCTCGCTGCACTTCCCTTGAATCCGCCATCTTTGATCTTCTCACTCTTTGGCTATCATAGAATCTCTATTTAGTAGCTCTTCAATATTGATAATTATTGATTTACGCAGTACAAAACGTGATTCGCCTCGAATATTCCGATCTGAGAGAGAGGGGTAGAGTGGGTGTGTTGATGAGTGAATATAAAGTTGCATACCCATAGAATGGCTTACGGCCCCTCACTTACTGTGAATAAACTCGCATGTGTTATAGGAAGATCATGGTTATACATCTGGATTTTCTCAAATTATTTATTCCAGATGGAGGAGGTGTGAACATATGATGTGTCTACTGCTAGAAATTTGCCATTCAGGTTTGATTTTGTAGGACCTGTAGCAGAGTGGTATCTGATGCTCATCTGTTTAGGGCCTGTTCGAGTCGATTTTTTAGGCGATGTCGGTATACATTTGTTGCCTAAATGAGCGTTCATCGAATACTAATGTTACTTACAAAATTATTTTAATTTTTGTTATCAACAAAATTTCAAAAAAGTAGTTTATCAAATGTTCATAGATTATAGGCTGCGTAACGGGTACCCGCGGGGCGGATAATAGCCTTAACAGATAATCCGCAGATAATCCATCTGTGGAGCGAATAATTCAGAATCTGGATGGGTAATCTATGAAGTAGGTATAAATTACTTGTAGATATTTATTTATTTATATATTATATAATTTTTTATAATATTAATATAATTTTATAATTAATATAAAAATTAGTATAAATCTAAACTTGAATTACTTTTGGGCTGGAAAATAATCTGAAAATAGCTTCATATTTTAAGTAAATCTCTACTTTTTTCAAAGAATTTATATATCTATAAATTATTTATAGATAATCTGTAAATTATTTGTAAATAACTCATATATTCACGAATAATTTATTTATTTATAAGTAAATGGATTATTTGTAGATAATTTATAGCTTATTTATATAGAGTAAGTAATTTTAAAGTTTTAATAGATAATCTATAAAATAGATAGAATCTTTGATGGATAACCTATAGAGTGGATTATCCGCAGATAATCCATGAGTACAAATAATTTATACGCAGCCTAATAGATTATCATACAATCTCAATAAATATAAGTCTATAAATTTTAAAAATTCATATGATAACTTCGTTAAATCTGTAATAAAACTTCGATCTTTCATTATTAACATTTTATTATTCTATATTTTGTAAACTTACAAATGTTAAGTTAGGTCTATAAAATGTAGAATAAGTTATTAATCAATATTTAAGTAATCTTATTTTGACAACAAACTCAAAAAAAAAACCGAAGGGGCCCTTATTCTTTCCGTAAACATGTAAATATGAGATCATAAATGACAGTGAAGATTAGAAACTGATAATTAATGGTTACTCGTGTAGAATGAGATGCTTTAGACTAGAGCTAGATCCCAACTGTGTATGATAGTACAATAGCCCTGGCACTTTATCGCGGTCCCTCTTATCGAAAAGTAGGATTGTCAGTACTCCCTATGTGTCCATCTCCTCTGATAGCCTCACCCATGAAGATGGATTAGCTTAGCTATACCACGCGCCACTTCTATACATCCAAATTTCAACAGCCCCACAGGAAAAGAGAGTGAGTCCGCACATCTTCTCCAGATAATCACCCCTGTGAAGACGACAATTCATTCTTTTACTATCCTGGTCTATCTCGTCTTCACCAGAATATCCAGATCGCGTAGTATATGATATATGGAAGTCGTCTTGATGTATCTCTATATGTGCAAATTGAACTGCCAGAAGCTGTCATGGCTGTTTCCTCTTTGATGCAATGCGAGCCTTTCCCTGTAGTTGAAGTGGATGAGTTTTGGAGGCTTGAGTCTCAGTAGATTTGAGAGAATGGATCGAAATGACAGTAGTCGCAGAAAGTAACAATGGACAAGGAACTTTGGATGATAGTGATTGTTGATTATGATGGCATCTAGACAGGACAGCCAAGATCAAGGTGTGATTCAGACAGGAACATGGTGTAAGCGGAGGGCTGGCGGGCAATACCCGTTGTGAAAATTGATACTGGCGATCGGTTTCCAAGTGACTGCTTGATTCTGTTATCAAGAGATATATATGTAATCACTTATCGAGTATAGAGGTTTAACCCGGTTTGATTCGAACATGGTTTCGTAAGCTCAGAGAGTATCCTGTATTCTCTGTATAAGTTCCAGATACAAAAGATATTCGTTCAACAGCATTAATCATGAGCATGTCGAATAAAAACGGAAAAGTCGAAGAATTATGCCGATCGACCTTAGATCTATCCAACGAAACCCACCCCTTCCTAATATCTTCAGATATATCCAAAGCAGCTCTTTCCTACCATCATTTTCTGTTGAACACAACTACTGGTTTAAAGAAAAAAAGATTTTATCTTCGTCATACAAGTCAATAATATTGGAAAACCTTACGCCTTGGTAGAAAGTTACCCTACAAACCCAAATCATCAGCCCTTATTAGTATGACTTACCATTCAGTTTATTCTCTAAATCCACTACTCCCGTTATTATCAGAGATCTTTTTTGTTGCAAATCTTGATATCAGTATGAGAAAATATATTCCAATACTTACCTCAGCTGTTTGTTCAGTCACTCCCAACCAATGTCAATTCAACAGTCTCTCCCTCGAAAACAAAAGTGACTTTCTATGGCCCAAAAGCAAGAATTACAATAAGCAAACTCTTCAAGAAGCTATTCGAAGCAATTCAAGTTATTATCGAAAGTCGAATGTCTGAGATACCACTGGAAATCATCTTAGTCACTGGTGAAGAGGTCAGAAATCAAGGGCTACTTTTACCTCACTTCAGTGAGCAGGTAGAGAAATACCAAGGAGAAATTCGAATTTTTTGTCTTGGAATTGGTGACTCTGCTGTACATGGACTGATTAGGAGAATATCTAAAGCAAGGAGTAGAATTTTTCGATGTATGCAGAGTGGCGAACAGTTAGACACAAGTGTCATCCACATCGGGAAGTACTTAGCCCATATATCGGGGATACTGTATTCGATTTCAAGTACAACGAAAGTGATGGTTTCAAGTTGATTAATGAGATGACAAATAAAACGGAAGTTGTGCAGTCCGAATATGAAGAATTAAACACCTCTTCCTCAGCAATACCTAGTTCTAATGGTATAGACGCTGATACATTGAAGAATTTTTATCCGCAAATCATCCAGGTACCAATAGGTCTGTTCGTAAATACCAGAACAACTGCATATTCACTTGAGTGTCCGAGTACCACACAGAGAAACCCAACATCCATTGCTATATGCCACCCAACGTCTTACGGGCCACCAGTCCTCGAGATTCCACTTCAAGTGCCCAAGGAAAAAAGTGCTACAATTCATCAACTTGCAGCTCGAGAAGCAATTCTAGATATTGAAGAGTCTCGGGGGTGGATTTATAGCCCGACCACTTCAGAAACTCAGACTTTGGCTGAGAAAGAAACTATCCGACTAGGTGAAGCATTTCAAATTATGAATGAATGGTGCTCGTTCGTAGCCGTCAGATCAAGCGACGAGGGAAGCTTAAACGAGAAACCATTTCAACCGAGCCCATCAGACGCAAACCTATCAACTATCATCTTACCGAAAACCCCGCCTCCAAAACTAGATTCGGCTGCAATGCTGAATGCACTTAAGAACAACCGACCGAATACGGACGAACGCACAATAGGCGGCCATAGAAGACAGGCGTTTATGGAACCTCCGCCGGTCAGACCTAGAATTCAGTCAATTCCAGATGATATGCAATTCCGATGTCTATCTGACACTTCTGACACCATTGTTCTACCACTCACAGTAAATAAACCTTCACCTGTCAATCCTAGACTCCAACCGAGTCAAGACAATACCAAACTGAGACCCTCATCTGGTGTTAAGATTTTTACTTTGCCAATCATAACACTACCTGTACCCGTAGTTTATTCACTTTACAACCCAATTTTAGTCCCCGCTTTAATTGATCTCCAATCTTTTGACGGGCCTTAGGATCCCAATAGTGAAACATCGTCCTCTAACATGGGATTTGAGATACCCAAACCCAGGTCGTCACTGCTTATCGATACTGATGCTTGGGTCACAATGCTAGTATTCAGGTTTTTGGAAGACAGTATACCGGAAGAGAATAATCTATGGTGTTTAGTTGTGGAGACGGCACGCTGGTATGTAAGAAATTATCTGGATACTAATAGTGATATAGCTTCACTTGAGAGGATGCTGCGGCTGCTATTCCGTCTACTTAAACTATCACTCCCTCACCCACAACTAGCGAAGTGTTGGTGATTCTTACAGTTGTATGTGATTATTGCGACGAAGGTTGGGGCTGGACGTTCAAGCTCACTGATATTGTGGATGCTGACGAAATTTCCCAGCGAATCTTCTAGTCACATCTCAAAATATCTTGTTTTACTCCAGTTACAATTCCATCAAGATACTGACTGATACACATCAAAATTTCATATAGATTCTAGAATAATAAATGAACATACTTTCAGTAACACGAATGTTGATACATGGATCATCATTTGTAACGTGTCATTCGAACGATTTCATTTCAAAGATATTTGATATATCGGAAGGCTTTTTAATTCTTGGATTATAATTGAAATTCCTTAGAAACAGTTAGGAATGTATAAGTAAGACTTAAATCGTTTACAACTAGGCATAACGATATATTAGGCCTGATTTCTGGCCCTCAAGGTCTGAGCAAGATATACTGTTGGACTTCTGCCTCAAGATTGATTTCTGCTGCCTATAATGGAGTCCACGTGACTAAAACCTTAATACTACACAAGGGGCATATCTAATGTATTGGATTTCTTATTGAACTCGCTTAGATTATAATCCTATTCGTTAAAAGTACGATTATTATATCACATTAAAAGCGTAATTTTAAACTCTTTTCTCACATATTCGATCCGATTGGAAATAGGAAAGGTGATTCCCTACACTCTTTTCCATACATCTCAAGAAAACAGCTTGAATCCATTTGTAATAATGCACCCAGAGCATCCGGAGACAACGATGATCGTAGAAATTTGAGCACACGAGAAAGAGGTCAGCCTTCAAGCAGCTCCCATAGAACACAAGGGAAGCAAGGAAAAGGAGGAAAACAAGCAAAACAATTCAGGAACCATCCACTCAGGACCCCGTAGGACTCGCGATGAAAAGCAGAAACCACAAGAGCCCGATCCGACAAAAAGATACGAACCACAAAGTTGTTAGCTGAATACATATCAATATTATAAGACAGCGAAATATCACAAATTTCTAGCTTAGATAAATCAAATCAGAAGTAAAAATATAAGATTTTTTTTGAATAAATAAGCGGTTGTACTTTCAGTAAAAGAAGTATTTAATCAACTCGATAGAACATAACAAGATTTTCTCTCGATTTTGCGGACTTCGTCTTCGTTTTCTTCTATTAGTGCGATCTGAATATGAATTAGTAGATAATCTTTCGAGTAATTCAATAATTCGATAAATTAATCTCATACTCTCTCAAAGCTAATCAATTACTATCTTATCCTCAGCACTAGAGTTATGTACACTCTTACACCCCTGAGATCCTAGTCTATCAACTAGAGAATCTATCTCCGAGTATAGTAGCTAAATCTGAAGCGAAAGAGAAAGGAGGTATTATGAACAACCGTAGTATAGTGATGAAATCTAGTTTCCTGTAGAATCTACAAGGCATAAAAGTAAATCATCTCCTAATTCCAAGACATAGGATTGACTCGCTTCAGGCATTCCGATCCCTCCCCTCAAAAATCTCAAATCTACCTAATTCAATATAGATAAAACTCGATATTATTAAGATATCAATTATAAGAGAGAAGATTTGTTACTATAAATCGTTACATAGACTAACGAAAGACTTTCGAACAATTGTTCAAAATTTCATCAACCCAGCTTTGAGATTATTCCTTACTTTATTTTTGATTTATCTTCAAAACACAAATATATATAAATATTATCCTCTCGCCACCCCTTCCCCCAAAACAGCTTGATTCTAATACTCATCGTCTATTCACAATACAACCAAGCACTCATCTATGTCAGGGTCGGTACAGGTCAGAGTTATTCCTACCGACCACGACCACGACCACCCAAGACTTCAATTACATTGGCATTACGATACTATAGGTCTGATTTTCGGTCCCCAAGATCTACCATATCCATATTATGTTGGACTTTGGCCTCAAGATTCCTGTAAATCAAACATAGCCACCCATAATGGAGTTCACGTGACTCGGATGCTAATGCTATATATAGAGCATACATCAGTCATCTTATTGAGCTCAATCAAATCTTCATTACATTCTTCATTATCGCCACATCACACTCAAAATATCAACTACGAACTCTTCTCTCATACATTCACATTCAATCCGATCAGAAATAAAGGAAGATAATTTCTGTCATCTTTTCCATACATACATCTCTATCAATCCAAGAAAGCCGTTCAAGTTTATTCGCATTTCTATACATCATGAGTGGTAACGCACCCAAGGGATCCAAAGCGAGCAAGAGCGCAGAAGGGAAACTCCAACATCGAAGCAGCTCCCGTGAACGATCACAACAACAACCACAAAATTCACGCAATGATAAACAGGAAACAGCCCCTGCCTCAGAGAACCGTGCTACTCGCAACCAGATAGATAAGGTGACAAAGAAATTGGCAGCAAATATCAACGACAATGGGCCAAAATCTGCAGAAGAGAGAGCAGTGTTGCGGAAAACATTAGACAATCTCGAAAGCATACGACCGCGATGAGAAGGCCGAAAGATGATGGGAATCTACTTGAGACAAGTCAAACCAGAAGTTACAATATGAGTTTTCTCATTTCAGCAAGCATGGGATTGTCCATTGAACAAAAGAATTGTTATATCAAACTAGATAGATAGAAATAACAAGATTACAATAAGAGCCAAATCGCACATGCAAACCTATATATAATGAATGTATTTGAAATTCTTACACATGACGATGATTCGAACGTAAACATCACTCACTACTAGGAGTAGATATCAGGATCGTATGATCAACAAACCACTACTATATCAAGCAGTGATGAATAGCTTCGCGCGACATAGGGTCTGGTATTGAGGGACTACCCGACTTTGATAGATGTAGGTTCCTCATAAATAGTAATATCAAGAGATCCTGAGTAGATATTTCCAGACCCTATTCTTCATTTTCAGATGGGTATGCGAAAAGCCTCTTTCTTTAGGGAAACAATGAGTTTTGTAAGGGGGGAATGAGACGAATCAGAGTTTATTCTAGCAATGGGATGAGAATTGAAAGCGAATACGCTTAAAAAATTGAATTTATATCAAATCTCACTGGAGATATTGGTTCACATTAATCAAAAGGGTCCTTGATAGTTCCTGAATATTACAATTGATATTATACTATATTCGAGTACATAACTCCAAAAATCATGATTATTTGGATCCATATACCTACATACCTACCCATGCCAAACACCATATCCAACCCAATACAACCCAGCCTAGCCCTGACCAACCTCATCCGATTCATAATCATTTATTCAATCGTTCTCTTTGAGTCCTTTACCCTTATGGTATACTCTCCAGAACATCACTCTCCTTCGGTCTCTGTAGGAAATCCGGTGGTCCACCCGCAGGTAACTGCCTTTCCTCCGCCCATTGTCTTATGGCATCGAAGTCTTTGCATTGATGTTCGGTGTTGAAATCTACGAATGCTTGTGGTTTCGATTTATCCCACCACACTTGGCCGAGAACGCCGGTATCCACTTGGCACATGAGTTGTTGGCGAATGATATCTAGACAGTGGGCTAGAGGGTGTTAGTATATATTTTAATCGAGGTATTCATGGGGTGGGATTGGAATGCTTCCTAATGAAATAGGAAAATCGAGATGAACTTACAGACGTGGTATTGAACGATATTATCATCATTCACAAATGCTCCTTTTCCTTGGTCGCGATAATAATCGTAATTATAGTATAGAGATTGTCTCACAAGGTTAAGACAATGTAAATGGTGTAGTCCTTCCAAATTGACCGGGAATCCTCCTCCATATTTTTCGTTGATTTGAACATGAGCAGATGTCAATCCGGATTTCTCTGCTTCACTTGCCGGTAATGCGAAGCTTCGGTCTATGGATAATTAGCTTTGGTCGAGTGAATTGATCCATATATACAATAGTACTTACAATGTACTCCCAAGCTTCCCCATGCTGCATCCACTTCCGGGCCTGCTCTTAATCGAAACGCATTTTCTTTCATGAATGATCCATTGAACATCACTGGCTGATATGAGGTATCGATATCATTCAGAATAGGAGCTGTTTTCACATTAGAACAAGAGATGGAAGAATTGAATGCTGGGTCATACAGTAATGTTGCACATAACTAGGACACAATTTCGCGGGATCCGCCACCAATCGAGAACCAATCCATATACCAAGTCCAACTGACAACAACGATACTACCGGGAGTGATAGTATATACCAAATGGTGCCATTCCGTCTGGATGCTGGCTTATACGTTGGCTCGGGATTCGAAAGTAAACCTTCGCCATCTTCTGATTGAGGTACTTGATTGTACTTGTCTGAGAATGGAGAATATGACATATCGTCAAATGGATGTGGTGGGGTACAATTTAAAGTTCAAGAGGAAGGAGGTCTTGGACAGCAGTCAACCATTCGACAGTATAAAGTATCCGACGATATCAGATGGAAACACAAATGAACTTTGCAAGAAAAAGAGGAGATGAATGAAGTGAGGTTGGGAAAGGGAGGGATTTGTTCGTTCGACGTGACCAGCGACTTCGCCATCCAAGTATCTGTGTCGTTCAAATACTTTTAGTACCGATTCTCTAGTCAAACTCAATTGAACCCTAGACTATCGAATTGCAGTAATGATCCGATGTGATAAGAAGAAAACATGACAGCAGATTGGAAAGACTCATGACGCATGTTCCAAGACTTATTATTCATGGGCTTGACTTGTGTTGTGCTGTACGAGGTTGGATCGGTGGTTGAAGTGAGACTAATGCATGAATGTAGGAAAACCCGATGAAGGCTTCGAAATACCGGTGTGGTGAGATATGGTGAGATATGGTGAGAGGTCAGAGAATCCGAGAAAGATCTGGAAGGAAGCAAGCACGTTGAGAATTGGAGGTGACCCTCTAGCCCCCCCGGTAGATTGATCGACAAATCACTATCTAGTGGGGATATCTGCGAGCTCAGGGCTGGCTGCGGGTATCTTTCAGGGATCATGTTGATACCCCGGTAGGGTATATATACCGTACAAGTACACATCGCTTACTGTTTTAGTGTCGGATATGCTGGGAAATGGGGAAAATAGGGTCCGACAGCTAACCCTCTTTACATTGTGTTGTCAATTTTACTTGGCGGTGTTGTTTCTTCTTTCTAAATATACTTCTTCACTTCACTTCACTTCACTTCACTTCACTTCCAAGGTTGGTGACTAGAGAAGCTAACAAGTCAAACGAGCTTTTCATCGGTTCTCACGGCTTTTCACGTCCACTTAAGGTTTTTTGACAACGCCCGTTTTCGTATTCTGCACCCTAGAACTACCCTGACCTGGATACCCTCAATACCCTTGGTACCCTTCATACCCTCCATATCCGCCATACCCTCCATACCATGAAAAGTCAGAAGAATAAGCATTTCACTATATCTGATCTGCTTTCTTCTCTTTCTCCACAATCGAAAAGAAATCCAATTATCCGGTCGTTCCAGAATGCCAAGATTAGAAAGAATGGATCTTCGTGCGTTCTCGTATCAATCACCTGAACGTAGATCATCAAAGATACGAGCCACCCAACACGAGCTTAAACTGTTAGACCCCGCAATTCCTATGCAACCTTGGTCTATTACACCATATTCCAACCTCACATAAGCCTTTCACTGATAACATGTTATGAATAGTCGCTGCGGCGGCATTATTTTCCGCAACACCCAAATATACAACTAGCCAAGTGGCTATGCAGATACGAATTAAGCGATGCCGCGATAGTAATACGTAGGTATTCAGAAGCTAAGTTGGTGGGCTGATGTTCCCCATACGTACAGTGCGCGGGATGGGGATGTATCGACTTGGTCTCGTACTCCTTACTTCCGAGTCCTATCACGTCTTTAGGTTGCTATATCGCTGAACAGCTATCTGTATCAATGTCGGTGTGTTAGCTCGAGTGGAAATTCCTAAGTATCATGACGTGGGAGTAATGTCGTGCCTATCGAGAAAGTTACAACTTGACCGATTGAATGTCATGCTGCCAAAAATAGATACTTTGGATACTTTTGGTACGTGGGTGAAAGTATCGCCTGTTTCGGTAAGATGTATCCAGATGGATATTTTTGACAATGCATTGAGGCGGATGTCTGGACTCTAGGCGGATGGTAGTATTCTGAAGTTATTTAAGATCTATCACCCCACGATACTTGATCATTACTCTCATCAATCATCATCTCTCTTCTCGTACTACTCAAATCTCTCTCAATTGTTCCCATTTACAACAATCACATTACATTCAATATGCTTTTCTCAAGAGATTTCATCATGCTGTTGGCATTCGCCGCTGCTGGCGCTGTCGCTGCACCAGTTCCAGAACCTCAACCTGAAGCCAAAGCCGATGCTTCCCCAGCGAACTATGGTGACTGTAAGACTACCTCCATGAAGGCCTCGGAGTAGAGTGCTAATGCATATTTCTAGATGGTGATTACGGAAACTATGGAACATATGAGAAATACCCATCCTCTTCCTCCGTCACACCTACACCAACCCCAACTGGATACGGTAGCTATGCCAACTGTAAGCAGATACATCAATGACATTTCCTAAGTCCACATGGTTAATATCTTCCATAGACGGTACCTACAAGAACAAGAATGTCAGAGAAGCCGCACCAGAGTCTGCTCCAGTAGCAAAGCGTGCTGACTATGGGAACTATGGTGACTGTAAGTCAATTCAATCCAATACATTTCATAGACTTCATGTTCAGATCAATTTATTTTCTGGAATCTTGGGTTTATGACTATGAAATGCTGACCCAACCTCCTATAGATGGTGACTACGGAAACTGTTCGTACATCAGGAGCCATTTTAATACAGTACTAACGTTATGATTCTAGATGGTAACTACGAAAACTACCCTTCCGCCACCCCTTCAAGCTCCTCGTCAAGCACCTCTTCCGCTACACCAACTCCAACCGGCTATGGCTCGTACGCAAACTGTAAGTAATACGCATCATACATATTACCCATCAGCTAATCATTCCTCTTAGATGGAGCATACAAGAACAAGAAAGCACGTGCTCCAGAAGCCAACCCAGTAGACTATGGAAACTATGGTGACTACGGTAACTGTAAGTCCACTCTCGATCTCTCTTTCCCTCGATCTCTCTATCCTTAAGCCATACTCGCACTCTCATATGTCCTCATTGTCTCATGGGTTCTCCTGAGCAATGCTGACTTTGCGCTCTGTTCATTCAGATGGTGATTACGGCGACTGTCCGTGAACTTCCTCGCTACATCACTATCTTCTCCCTCCCTCTCACTACATCTTATCTACCCAATCCTATTCCCATACACATAACTAACCATTCCTTCTTCCAAAAAACAGACGGCAACTACGAAAACTATCCCGGCGCCTCCACCACCCACACCTCCACCACCCACACCCCAACCCCAACCCCCACCCCAACCGGCTACACAAACTACGGTTCCTACGGTACCTACGAAAACTACAAGCGCGAAGCCGACAACGCCCTAGCTTAGGCCGATGAATTTTTTGACGAATTTTATTTTGTAATGACTACGTGAGTTGCACTTCCCTATTCCAACATACATTGGTTAAGAATATGTGCTAATACCGGGATGATTAGACTCCTTTATGACTGAATGATATACGCCCCTTTAGATAAATAATGATTATTATAATGATACGATACGATACGATATGGTATGAAACTGCTCCTACAGCAAGCATGGATTTGGGAAAGAAATGGGAAAAAGAGAAGATGAAGATGGATGGATGGATTGAATAGTTAGCTTGAGCAATCGAAGAAACCTTTGATCCTTATCTTAACCCCGTATTCTACTTTTGATACTTTTTTGCAATCGTCTGATCGTGAGAACTACTGTGAATAGAATACTTCAATTACCTACATACCCCTCGTTGACAATATCTTCTGTGGTGAAGAAAAACCTACCTATCTATCTATTCTCCCCTCCGCGCAAAGGGGTGCGCAACAAGTAATTCTCCAATCCACACACCCCACCACCACTACCACCTCACAACCACCACAAACGCACTAATCCCAAATCCCTCTAGCGCAGTGTCTAATTTTTCCACCATATATTAATTTCTTCAAAGCTCGAGCTTCTTTTCTGCGCAATTTTTTTCTTCACCATCTACCGGCAAACCTACCTACCAGGTACATACCCAATCATGGCGATGAAGATGTTTGTGGTTTGTTGCTCTCTTGCTTTATCATTCGATTAATGAATGATCAATGATTGATCAAAATCTCTCTACATCATTCAACCATTCAACCATCCACCCACCAATCCCGCAGATTCTGCGCGCGATAGATAGATACTACAACAACTAACCACAGCTCCAATTCCAAACGCCAAACCTCAGTCTCCATCACAATCAAAACCGTACGTTCTCTCTTCTCTCCTCTCCTCTTTCTCCAACCCTCTCCTCTCCCCATCTCATCCTATCCCTCTTCTCTCCCCCATCCCCCAAAAAATAAAATGATGATCAACACATACGTTATACCCAGCTCACTCAGAGACACAAGTTGTCATTGCTGAGAACGCGTTCAGCTTCTGATTTATTTTTTGCTCCTTTCTCATTACGATGAATTTTCTTGGAATGATTTAGAAGATATCGAGACTAATTTGGTTTCTTTATAGGATGGATATGAAGGTGTTTCTAAAATGAGGTTGTCGGTTTGATAGGGTTGGAGATTGGTATGCGGATGAGGATGAGGGATTAGGGGAGGCGCGCAATGTGCGAGAGTGAGCGATATATATGGTGTTTGTCTTGAGTTTGCTGGAGCTGCTGGCAGGTTCTCTGGCTCACAACATATCATATCTTCGCACACTTAACAGCTTTTAGAAGGTAGGTCGAACAAGCTAGCTTAATCAATAGGTTCTATAATTCTTCTATCTGTCTGTCTATCATACTAGTCTTTTCCTGTCTATTATCTATCATACACGTGCAATTGATGAGACTCAGGAAATTCCTACTTGACTCACTCATCCATTATATCTTTCAACTCCATACCAAACGCTATGCGATATCCCAATACCAAAATGCTCGACGTAACGCCCTAATGCCCTCGCTCACAATCTTTCACCCAATATCATATTCTCAATCACCTAGTCTTTGTGGTATGTATTTCGCACAGATATCACACAGTCGTCAGAAAGGCAAAGATTACCCTCCATTAAACTCGAATTAGTCCTCGAAACCGACTCCAACTCGTCGCCGCAATTCCTTCTTTTCTCCCTCTCCCAGCCGATTCTCTCTCTCCCTGTCTCTCCATCTCCATCTCACTCATATTCCTCTCTCCATCCCTCTCTCCCACCACATCCACCCCCCTCCCCTCTTCTACATCCCTCTTTTCCCTCTCCCTCATCAAAACCCCCTGACGTCTATACAACCCCACAAAATTCCACGTCCCCCACAACTGCGCCGCCATAAACACCACATGCAACAAGGGCGTTGAGATTTTAAAAGCCAATGTCCATCGATTCCACAAACTCCCAAAGAGAAACATCGTGACGATTGTTTCGGCGATTGTACCGGTGAAGGTGGTGATGGCTGCGATGCGGAAGATTTTGCGGAGGAAGGTGTGGGAAGTGGGATTGCAGCGGTAGAGGATGATGGTGAGGTGGGGGAGGAATTCGGAGAGGATGTCGAAGGCTCCTTTATGGGGGAGGTTGTGTTAGTGGGTTGAGGAAGAGAGAAAAAAGGGGGGGGGGGGGGTAAAGGAGATGAAGATGGAGATGAATATGTGTAAAAAGAGGGAAAAAACATACCCCAAACCGTACACAAAATAAACTCAATCGTGGCATCCCTCTCCTTCACCAAATCCAAACTTATCGCAATAGCACTCTGCCCAATCAAAATAGTCCCAATATGATGTCCTACACTCACCGGACTAATTTTCGGTCGATACAGTAACTCGAATATGTACATTGCGATTAACATTTGCGCGGCGATGATGAGTACATCTCCCATTGTGGTCTCGCTTCCTGGCGCAAATGGGGAATGTAGAGAACTTGTGAGGAAAGTGACGGAGATGAAGGGATAAGCAGCGAGGATTAGGATCAGCAGTTTTGTGAGGCCGGCGATGTGGTGGTTGATGAAGCCAGAGCGGAGGGCGGAGCCCGAGGGCATGATTGTGAAGGTGGAGCCGTAGAGGTAGGGGAGGAGAAGGGGTTCGAAGAGGTAGTAGCGGATGAGGAAGTAGAGGATCAGGATTATGGAGAGGATGAGGCCGGAAAAGGGGGAGAGCTTGGAGATGGTTTCGAGGGGGATTTTGGTGATGTGTGGGGAGTCGGGGTCTGGGGCGGTCATGTTTGAGGTGGGGAGGGGAGGTTTTGATTGGTTGTTGAGAGGTAGATTAGATAGGATGTGGTTGTTGACTGCAGTGGTTTGGGTTGAGATGTGACTCGTACTGTGTTTTTGGTCAAAAAGACAGGAGTTAGGTGGACCGAAGTTGTCCTGGTTGAGTACAGTGACTGGGTGTTTGGAGATGCTTGTGTTGATCTAGCAGTAACCTCTAAGGATATAAAGTAGTCGAAGAAGAGAGCAAATAGACAGGCTGAACTCCGAACTGAAGGAGATGGAGAGAATGTTGGAATAGACAAAAACTCAGTGAATATGAGAAGTAGGAAGTAGGAAAGCAAAGGAAGTAAAAGTATGTGGTAAATAGTACCTATGTAACACAGAAAAGAAACCTCAATCAGAACAGATCCCAGACAAAAGATTAATACAGGTCATCCTCAGCATTATATATGAATAGTTAACGAGTACAAACCCAATTCATTCAAGTAAGGATCTAAGGAAGAATGCTCTTTCAGCCCTAGTTCAGATCTCGTACAGAGGTCCCTAATATGATGGTTGAGGAATTTCGTTTTTTATGAAATGAAACGAAGCTTATGGTGACATCCATCCAGGCAGGTACTCAAAAGGACCCTTACTTTTTGGAATTGAAATCTTACACGAATATTTCGAGATGTCTGTGCAAGTCAATGATTGGATGTCGATTGAGGCTAGAGAGGAGAGAAAGAAGGTACGATGCATTTCAAGGATTGAATGAGGCTCGAGCAATTTCGTTTGGTGGCCGAGTTGCGGGGTGGTGCTTGATGGGATTAGCTGAATGCATGTTAGTTAGCTAGACTGATGGTTTGGAGAATGGAATTTGGTACGGTGCGTGCTGGGTATGTAGGTTGGGAGTCAAGATTGGTGTTTGAAGATATAATATTTGTGGTGAGGGATTATGGATGAATGGAACGCTTAATGGGGTAACGTTGGTGTTGGCCCTCGTGTTAACTTGAGATGTTCCTTCGTTGGTAGGTTATCACTTACCGACTAGGTATGCTGGTTTTGTGTAAGTACTTCGTAGGTACCTGGATATATCTTACATGTCTCTTGAATAGAAATGCATATCATGTTGTAACAAACACTGATTCATGAGAGTTACCTACTTATTACTACTCATTTCTTCACGTTTGCATCCTGAAAATATATCATGACCATGCTTCTAGAAACGACCGGCAGTAGACCCCTATCTCATACTCCAACCTCAGCATCCCTGAGAAATCCGATCAATCTTCATGTGTCAAAATCACTCCCGGCTTGGCGATAAAGCTTGGTATTGCAGCTTAAATCATACTTCAATTTCTCACTATCGTTTGATGTTTCTATGAGAAGATCGATGGTTCGTATGTATTTCACACTTTTGACGTTTCCTAGTAATGGTCTAACGATATGTGAAACCGCGCTCGAGAGGTATGTTTTTAATGCGTATTTGTTGGTTGGTAGGATTGGAGGTTCAGAGCTGCTCGTATATATAAAATTTCAAGGATCAAATGCCGCATTTGAGTCGACTTACTTCTTTGGTATTTAGAGGGAGCCATCTTCCTGAGGCGCTGATCGTTTTGGTCTTCTCGGTCGTATGAGAACTACTAGATAGGTATCTAAGCCCTCTCTAATTCCCCGAATTCCTTTTCTACCTACCTAATAGGTACCTAGATAAGTACAAAAACAGGAATAGGAACAGTTGTGGAACGATGCAGACTTCAACCAGTCTCCGGGTATGGTCCATTATACGATGAGACCTCGGTACAAACGTACATCTGTTCTTCGGAAAATTCTTGAGGACAAACCGACATTCAGCATTCAAGGTTCTATGCCTGCCATCCCAAAGTTTATGAGTTTCTAAAGATTTGGAGGGCCTTCAAAGAGCTTTGTTCACGTAGCCGAGTAAAATCATTTCTCTCTCATGTCGAAAATTGATGTCTAGAAGTTTCTACCTGCAATCGGAAAGGAGAGGATCCTAGAATGGCTCAGCATGGAGAGCAAATGGGCCAACACGTGCTCTCAGAAGCATTCAGTACATTGGTGTTCTCACGGCGCTATTGGCAACAATTTGACTTAGATAATATCTACTTCCATGGCTTATCGATCAACAAATTTCCAAATCACCACCTATATCGCTCTAAATGCTTCAAAGTTGTTACCTTGATCACGTGTGATAGAGTCCAGTCGAAGAGTTGGTGCTCCACACTATCGCATTGTCATTGGATAACCTTAATGATAATTTGTAGATATATGGATCTGGCTAGGCTATGTTTATTCTGCATTGTACCGAGTAACGCCAGCGCAACGGTTTTCATTACGATCCATATTTACGTGAGAACCAATTGGTCTCATCCTTCACCCATTTTTCATCCTTGGTGACGAATTCCTCACATCTCGGAAATGCGTTGAATCATGCACAAGCCGCTGGGGTTCCCAATGAAGCTGTCCTGTCAATTGGATAATTAGTGTATCATGATGAAAGTACGTACTCTCTCACCGATTCTTCATGACATGGCGGCTCTCATATAGCCAGAGCATCATGGCGAAGTTAAAATTGAGTTTGTCCCAAAGATACTCCATTATATATTGTCCTATGAATCTTGTTTCAAGATGACGACTATATATCAGGCTTACAGCCATGTTGAGTTCTGTTATCGTCCATATGTAATCTTATATCAAGTCTCAATTACAACATACGACTTGCTTTCAGGTTGTGCATATCCATAACATCCATGTCTTCCACGACGACCATAACCAGCAGTGCCTCCACAATTGCATCTGCAACGGCATCATGTATTAACGTCATGCCAGATAAAAATGGTTATGTATTCGGATGGGCTTGCAGTATGTACTTCCTTTCTCGCCGGAAATCAGCACCTAATCATAGTAGATGCCAACTATAATTTTTTTCCATCATTTGCTGCCGCAGTTGTCTTCACGTTACTTTTCTTCGTCGTTACAATCGCTCATATCTTCCAAGCATTTTACCACAAGAAACCAAGACTATGCTGGGTATTGATTATGGGATGTACGTGGGAATTCATGAGTTTCGCGATACGCTCAGCTAGTACAAAAAAGCAGCAAAATGTTGCTCTGGCCACTGTCTCTAAAATTCTCGTTCTACTTGCCCCTATGTGGATCAATGCCTTCGTATATATGGTTCTAGGACGAATGATTTACTTCTTCGTTCCAGATCAGAAGGTTTGGGGCATCAAAGGTATCCAGATAGCCAAGATCTTCGTCTGGCTTGACGTGCTATCCTTCATAACACAACGTAAGAAACTTCAATTCACCAACGGAGCTTTTTGCTAACTCATTTCACAGTTGTGGGTTGCGTACTAATATCTCCCGACGCCGAGTCAAATACCTTAATGATCGGTATCCATATCTACACGGGCGGTATTGGATTCCAAGAATTTTGCATCCTGCTTTTCACAGCCATCACCATCAAATTTTTGTTCATCATGCAGCAACGAGAAAGATCTATCGGAGTTAGTGCCAATCGAATACTAGATCAAAGACATCGCGGTTGGAGACCTCTCTTATATATCATATTTGCGTCTCTCGCACTAATCACTACACGAATCATCTACCGCTTGGTAGAATTTTCAGCGGGTCTTGATCCAAGCAAGAATCCAATACCATATCATGAATGGTATTTCATATTCCTTGATGCTTTGCCTATGTTGATTGCAATTGCATTAATGAATGTCATTCATCCTGGTAAAATTTTAGTCGGTGAGGGAAGTGAGTTTCCTCGATTGTCGAGGAGAGAAAAAAAGGAAATGAAGAGATTGCAGAAGTTAGAAAGGGAAGCTGCAAAAAATGAAAAGAAAGCAATCAAGATGGGAAAGAAAGACGCTGTTATCTATATCAGTTTAGATGAGCCGACATGTACCCCTCCTGGTTATTCCGAAAATACTAGCTATCTGGGTTATAATCACGGGTACAAATGTTGAGTATTTTGGAAGATAAAGTTTCTGTATATATGAAAATGATTAGTTGTCGCACATTGGAGCAGTCTCATCTTCCCGTAATAAGCTGAATGTGTCGGTGGTCTTGTGTTTGGAGACAACACGTGCATATTCATCGGCAAAGTTCCGATGATTTCATGACATGAACCATGAATCTGTCTTTTGGGACTTCAGCAACTGTCAAAATACCATTTGATTCACCATATTAGATTACATGCGATTGATTGGTCTGCTTTTCTTTTTTGCTTTTTGTTTTTGCATCTTGTTCTATTCAAGAAATTCTTCACCCCTTACTTCACGCGCAATTCTCGGGGACTTGGTAACACAATGGCTTTGTTGAACGCAAGTATCCGAATCCAGTGTTTCACAACATAATTTCGCACTTTCTTTTGCTGGATTTTGACAGTGTTCTGTGAAGACAGATAATCCAAATTTACGTTGCTCATTGTCATTGATTGAATTTCTAGACCTGTAGAACTTCCTCGGTACTACTTACATTCCTTGTTTCCACACGAGTGTCTTGCTTCCTCAGTTCAACATACCTCATTTTGCATGCCGTGAGATTGCCCCATTTCTCTTGTTCAACATCAAGCCATGGCACTCATAATGTAAGCCAAGGCTTAGTTCAAATGCATCGAATTCGCTGAATCGAGCCAGCATGTCTTTCCTCGAACGAATTTCAGATCAGGCGTTCCACAATAAATCGACTCGGAAGATAACAAAATCTGGTAATCGGATAACAACTCGACGTACCCAAACATAAATAGTAATATGACATATGGAAACTTCTCCAACGTACATCGCCTTCTACGAAAACCCCTCTCTCACTTGCCATTGCTATGTATTTCAATTGAGATTTGAAGTCGAAGATGGGAGTCCTCATGGAGCGAATGGCGGAGGCATCGGCAAATGAACCTAGAGCTGGAATGGTTTTCTCGATTGTTTTATCTATGATATCAATGGCAGTTTTGGCAATTTGTATGAGTAAGTTTGTCTACCCGATAGAAATACCTGCACGATTCACAAGATGCTCACGTTCTCATGCAGCTCGTCGCGTTCAAAATGTACAGGATTGGTCTCGATACCCTCTCGTTTGTTGGTGTAAGTTTTGAGGGTTTATCTACCAGGCTTTTATTAACAGAGTTTGGGACTGACAAAAAAAATTGAATAGTGGTTCTTTGGATATATTTCGACTCTCTAGTATTTGTTCTTGGTTCCGCAGTTGTTTCGGCAGGGTTTGGTGTCAATTATTCGCAGTATATGTGCTCCAATGCTATTATATTATGCTTGTCTTGTTATATGACGACAAAAGTGAGTATTGAACTCAGGGAGTTAGACCTGATTTCTGGTTGGAACTAAGCCACCAATTCACAGTAATGTATCCAGCCAGTTGTGCTCACATGATGTTTTAGGTAGTATGTTTTCTTCACTGCAAACGACCGCAACATTCACTAAAACCAAAAGCTCATCTACTATTTTCTCGTTGAGAGAGTTGTAAGTTTGCTCATACCTCTTTTTGATCTTATACTAACTAATATAATAGTACATCATTCGCAGATCGTCAAAATCGCGCATCAAAGATCCTCTTTACCTCTTCAACTCGATTGGAATGCTAAGTTAGTCTCCTGATTTGTATGTGATAGCGCAAATACTAATAATCCTTTTAGTTCCTTACTGCATAGTCATAGCATTAAATTTTGTCTTGTGAGTGTAGCTCTCAGCTTTTGTTGGAAGGAATTCTTGTTGAGTTAACGTCCAAAGCCGATTCGCCAATTACGAGAATGGTGAATGTCGGATTGGGATGAAGCAAGTCGCGATGATACCTCTTATTGTAGGTGATTCATCACCTATTATTCCAATCCCTAGGTTTCCACTCGAGAAATATGTTTATTAACATTCGGTAGGCTTTCGATATATTGGTCAATGTGAGCCTTGATATTCCCCGTATCAGAATGCCGGCTTAACGTATATAGGTCTACCTAACGTCTTTATTTCTCGTTCCACTACAAGGTAATTCTGCATCGACAGTTTTTCTCGCTCCTCAACTAATTTATATAGGCTTGTACTCCTACAAAAATAACCCAAACTCACAAACACGTACCGTCGCACTTCGTACTTTTATTGGAAGTTGTTGTGCGCTTACTTCTAGTGCCGTGTAAGTTACTCCTCTTGATCACTTAGGGTGACATCTGATATTCTCCCCAGTAATTTGACATTATTGTTGGTGCTGAAAGGCGAACCAGGCTGGATATGTCTCATGTGTTGTAATCTCGACAGTAAGCCTCTATCTCATCTCCTCTATTCAGAGAATCCTCAAAAAACTCACAGATACACCTAGTACTATTCAGCGTTCTGGTCCTGCACTGGATAACTTCCAAAGACAATGCTTCCACCTTTCTCCCACGCCGTTCTCACTCACATACACATTCACACACCTGTTCCTCCTACCCGACTATCCGCACCAGCGCCCTCTCTTCTCCTATTTCTCCCCGTCCACTTATTTCCAGTCCTCGTTCTATCCCAGAGAATATGGGATTTCCGAATCGAGATCATTTGTTTATGAGTACGAATGGTATGAATGGTGGGAATCCAGATGATTATAGGTATGCGAGGGATGCTATTGATTTACCGACTGTTACGACGACTGTGACTGCGGGAGTGGGAGTGGGAGTCGTAGAGACAATAGATGGAGAAGAGGAAGGGAAGAACAGAGGGCTTGGAAATGGCAATGCAGAGATGGGAATCAGAAAACCGAAAATGGCGATTGTCGTTGAGAGGGATCATGTGAGGGAGGTGGTGGAGACGGGGATCAGAATTGTGAATGATCGTGATCATGACAGATTGATTTTGACGCTACCGAGGAGTATTAGTGGAGGTGGGGGGAGCATTGGGATTGAAATTAGAGAAAGGGAGAAAGAGAAGGGGGCTGGAAAGATAGGGGAGGAGGATGACATGGATATTTCTTTTTGAGTGAGAAGTGTAGTTTTGATGAATATATGATGAAACTCTATCAGATGATGATACCTTAGCAGTCTATTAACTAAGAAATCCTTCCGCATATCCTTCTTCAACACCCGAGACTATTAAAGAAGAAGAATCCGAACCATTCTCGAAGCTGCGGACTAGTATCCTCGCATATCAAATACCATATCGAAAATGACCTCGGTATCTGAAAGCCAGAAACGAGAATACGTCATAATATCCATCTACCTAGGTACTTGCTAGTCACAAGTGGATTATCTTCCACACCTACCCCTCTCATTCCGCTCCACTATTTAACACTCTACACTTTTGATATAAATGTACATATACCTACCCCCTCAAACCCTCCTATCAATATCAACACCATTCACGGATTCCGAGAGTTCCATTACAGAATGTCCGTGATTCTCTGACCCTCGAATGGCCAAGTAAGCAAGAAGTTGGACTTGACGGACAAATGTGGTGCTCGCTGGTTTTGTACTTTTGTATTGAATTTTGGAATTGGAGGTGAGATGAGTTGGTGGAATTGGGGTGAGGTTTGTCGATTCCTTTTTTTGTTGTTGTCGTTTCTATTTGATTGGTGTACTAGATAGATTACTTATGCTCATTTGTTCTACGATTACATGTCACATCGATATCTACATCTATCAAATCTTTGTTGTCTTTTACCATTCTTGCTATTTTAAGTTCACTCGGAATTTTGTTATCGTTTACCTGTCTCTTGTTATTTCTTTTCAAATGGTATCAATATCATACATAATAGGAGTTTCTCCGTACACCTCTGGTTCAGGGAAAATCTCATCCTTCCTTTGAGTGAGTAAGGTTTCCTGTTCTGGGGGATAGACGACGGATAGTTTCTTAGAAGCCCTTTTGCCTTTACATTCGCAAGTTACGGAGTCATTCGCGGGGTGTGTTGTTGATTTATATGGCTTTTAAATTAGGTATGAACGCACCTTTTTGTGTGTGGCGATCTGGTATTCAAATGGTGAGGTTGTGAATACATTCCGATGATGTATCTGGGTTTCGTATTCTGTGCACTCACTACTGGGTAGATGTTCATTGTCCATTGTTTAAAAATGTGAGGTGTGTGAGGTATGAGAGGTATTCACTCACAAAAAGAGGGGTAGTGATTATGCTTAAGCTAATTCTCATATCTTTAAGTTTGGTGATCTGCGAATGAATTTTGGTGATATAAGTATGCGGGAATGGGAGGAAGGTAAATTATTACAGTTTCCCAAAGTATGGAACGAAACTTCGTAGAATCCTACCCATGGCTTTGATGGCGGCATTTCTGACAAAGTCTCCAGTCGGGGAAGATAAATATGAACGATAGGTGGGAATCTGTCTAGATGTGTGAGCTCTAAGATATAAGATAAAAATAGAATATGGAGATTGGAGATTCAGCAAGCTTCGAGGTCGTAGATTGATGTTATACTTTCGGTTTTCCGTTTTGTTTATGGTATTTCTCTCATCCTCTTCCCTTTGATACAATTTTACTGTCAAATGTCAAGACTTTCAAAAACGATACTTCGTTATCGTTTCACCTTACTATCGTCAATCCGGTTATCTCACCCATCTGATCAAGATTCTTATAGCCATTTCTCCCTCTCTGACTCTTCCATGAAAGTACCAATCTTGTGATCTCCACGCCAAATCCACGACAGTTTCTCCGGCTAAAGTCCTATGAGTTGGTACTTTCCAGCATCAGTTGAACCTCAACATCAGTATTTTCTTTACTGCAATACTGAGAAATTTACATCGAGATTTCTTGATATATATATATATATGTACTTTCTAAGAATTATCATCGAGGGGGCAAATGACACAGTACATGTGATTCACCCACTATCCCTTCAAGAACAAGCGAATATGCAAGCCGCATCCTCGCATTCTGAATTTCGTATTCAAGAGTAGGTCTCCATAAAGTGGCATTTCAACTCAGAGAGAGATCAGACCTAGCCCAAAAGTCAAGCCGTTGGAATAATGGTTGGTGGTTGATCTCGCACTCTATACTTTCTCAAATTTGTAGAAATAACGCGCACTAGCTGTCAAGTTCTGGGCTCAATTTCAATCTAGTTATCCTGTCCGAAGTATAGGAAATTATCATTGTTATAACAACAGCAAAGATAGATCTCCAATAATGACAGCGAAAAGAGATTCAACAAGAGGAGATACCGTGAAAGCGTATCAGTTAAATCCAAAGTAGGAATATGTATTACTACCTTTCTCCTTTAAACAAGTGAGCGGACCATTCTAGTGATGATGAAAGTGAGTATTCGAAAATGACGACGAGATATTTAGTGCCATTATACGAATCCATTTTTAAGTTGTATTCCCCATCAAGAAACAGGAATTTCTCCAATACCATTCCAATTCCTGGACACGACAGTCTGCAGTGGTTGCGAAGTTTTGTCTTGAGTATACCGAGACAGAATGAGATTGTTGTGTATGATGCTAGATACAAATATGTTGTTATTTTCTGCTTATATTATATAAAATATTGATCACGGTATTCGGGATAGGGGGTAGGTGTAAGACTAAATATATGATATTATATGAAGAGGGGAAGGAAGGCTTGGAAGGCTTCCTGAAAGTGTGCTATATAAGAGCACTAATGACTGAGCATCCAAGACTGACTACGCTAGTGAACCATGACAAGATTATTAGATTCATGAAAAAATTTACATGTCTATATAAACATCCAAAACTTCTGCGGATAGCAGATGTGGAATAGTCTCGATGCATCTAATTATGTTCAGCTTCCCAACACCAATTTTGGAGTCCGAAAGTTGCTATCATTCTTGCACAGTCATAGTCCGCCGTACTTGCAAGAACCTCGTTGAGCTTTGCGATTGTCAATTCATTCTCTAGTGCGCAATTCAAAAGTCCTAATTCGATCTCTTAAATAGTACGCAAGTCGAAATTGACTACCTCTATGATTCACTGGCCCGCATTTCCTCCATTTCCCTCTTTCCTGGATGTGTTTCCTCCTTAGGTATCCAGTAGTAGAACTTAGACCACTACATACTCCTTACTCCTCTTTTTCCCTCTCTGATCTCTATATAAAAGTTCCCGCCGCCACCAAAACAGAGCAACCGGATCCTCGATACGTGGCTGAAATTGCTGCACTACTGACACCGCATTCTGACAAAGAAACTATAAAACTTTTGACAAACTCTGAAGCACAATCTTGTCCTTTCTTCCAGCTAATAATCAATTTTCATTGTCATTGTATAGGCTACAGTTAATTTTCACCATCTTGATTGCTAAGTACTTCAGACCACCACCAAACCACCCCCTGATCATCCAAAAACAGCAGCCCCCGAAGCCATTAAACGTTCTCAACTTCAACATTGACTTGGAACCACGCTCATGAACAAATCTGCTCGTTTTTGGTTCAAAGATCCTTTCAAGTTTGTGTATCAAAATAACAGTATTTTTGATAGTTCTTATATAAACAAGAGATGAGAATCTCTACTGTGCAGCCTAAATATCCCGCCGGTATCACTAGCCAGCAAGAAGTCAATGATTCACATTCAACTTCTATTCCCTAATTTGATACTCCCGCAACCCCGCTTTCCTCCACCCACAATTCACCACTGACGCTCTAATGATTCTACCTCAAAACCTACCCAGTTCATAAAAGGCACGGTGCTGATGAACGAAGACACTGAATTCTCTACACCTCAGATGTAGAGATAGCCTCCATGAGCATGTTAAAGTACCGTTTTCTTTTCAAAATGTAGCAAATATCAGATAGATAGAGAGAGAAAATGGGCTTAGACTCAACAAGAAGGCGTAAAGAAATAATATCGGATTTGAGGGGGGAAATGGGAGGATGAGTTAATTACAAACGACAACAACTGGAAGCAAATGAAGAAAATAAGATTGGATCAACAGCGATGTACCAAACTTGAGTCCAAATAATCATAAAGTCCAAGTCTAGAGTCGCTGGCCACGTTCGATCTTTCACGCCAAGCCAGATAATTGTCTTCCTCTCCGTACTGGAGATTATGAAGAATCCAAGCACATTCGAGCATTGTGACAAAGGTAAAAAAGGATAACCTATCTCATTGAACTGAAATCGGAGAGGAAACTAGTTCCTCCTAGAGACAGGTGAGATGCGAAATTTGAGGAGTAGATCTGATGAACTCAGTATACCAGACGATTAAGTGTGAGAGCAGTGATACATACATCATACACTCAAACAACATCTTATTCGCCTACATACCCCGCTTATGCAGCTTGACGAACTCAACATGTTTTCTATATAAACTCCTTACATTCCAAAGAAGAAGCATCGAGGGTAAATCGAATCACCATAGCCACCTTTAAAAGTTTGTGAGAATAAACGAATTACTTCTCTGGTCTTTTCTTAAATTAAATGATGCTAGATTCACCGGGATACCCGCTTTCTTAACATATAAATAGATTCAAGATAGAAGGAAGATATTGACATTGCATGTCAGGAAATACGGCAATGACTAAATATCAACGAAATACGACACATAACTAAAAAAAAAAAAAAGATATCAGTTATACCCATACCCGATCATGCATTGTAATCTACACAGCTACCCCCGTGAACAAATTATATTCTAATCAAAACGCCAGAACGTCAAAGTACTCTTGTATCCCTAGTTCTGTTTCCTATGCACCATCTACAGAAACATCCATAATACCATAACCCCTCTAATATTACCATAACAAAAACAACAACAGCAATTCCAGCCCACATCTTCCTCGCCAAATGACCTATCAATTCACTCTAAGCTCAAACTGCTGAGGTCCACAATATCATTCTTCACAACCCATCTCTCAAGAACTTTCATAAACAACTACTACAAAATCCCCCTCCTCTGTCCTCAATCCCCAATCCTTAAGTCCCCGACAGAAGAATAGAGTTGCAATAGGATCACACACAGCTCAGCTCATGTGTTTTCCCAACTCTTTAGCATATCTACAACCTCCTGTAGATAACTGTACAT